CTATATTTTGGGGGGGGAATCTATATTTTGGTATATCTAGTAGAGAAGGATCAGAACCTCAGAGCAATTATGGGAGACGTAAAACTGTTGTTTTAAAGTAGCTTTGAGAGCTTCACCACCTCACAGAGGTTGCTCAGGGAGTGGAAAGGGAGCAGCTGTCAGTCCGGGCATCTCATGTGCAGCTCGAGAGAAACTGGAGCCAAAGAGGTGCCTCGCTGTAGCCTAACGTACAAATGCGCCCGTCCAAACTTCCTTTTGTGAGATGACTTTTTTCTTTTCCCCCTTCAAGGTCCTGGTCTCCATCTTGTTTTTTACTTGCTGCATGTTAAAAAGTTTGCATAATAATAATAATAATAATAATGCTACCAAAGTCTTGGATTCCACAATTGTCTTTTACCTAGAGACAGCCTGACTGACAGGTAACACTCAGTTTGCCAGCTTTAACTCAGGTCAGCTTTGACTCTTGCCCAGTTCACCAAGTATGAAGGAGGCTATCCAGAAGGACCTGTGTGTATATAATTTTATTTTTCCCTTTCAGGAGCAAAAATGTACAAAGGTGTCTGGCAGACAAGGAGAAGATCTGCAAGGAGGAGCCAGCAGAATAATCCTTGGCCGAGAAATGACTCCAGTGAGAGGTAAGTGATCCAGGGGCCTTTTTTCGCCCTTGGCCTCCTGGAGATGTCCAGCATATACATCATGGGGCATGTTGCCAGAATGCTGATTCTGAGCTAGTGGGTCTAAAGGAACCCCGAGGGGGAGACTGTGTTTCAGCAGGCTTCCAGGAAGTTGTTGCACAGTGGGCCACACTTTGAGTAGAGACAAGACTTGGCTGCTGTATTTCCACAGTGACCAAGGCTTCCAGCCAGAGCATTAGCGATGAGGTAAAGAGTAGACACTATGTGATGAAACGGAAGAGCTGTTTCTCCATTTTGTGAATTTTTTCTTCCTTTTTTTTTAGCCAAAGAAAGCAGATTTCTAGAAACCTAAAGTCATTAGTTCAACCTGTCGTTCTCAGGTCAAGTCGACTCTAGTACATAACGACCTTGTGTACAACAGAACACAACTGTGCCCCATCCTCGGCTGTCCTCACCATCTCCACTGTGCCCAAGCCTATTGTTGCAGGCGTTGTGTCTGTCCATCTCACTGAGGGTCCTCCTGTCCTTTGCTGACCCTCAGTGTTTCTAGGCATGATATCCTTGGAGAAAGGCTAGCCCCTCGTGATAACATCCCCAAAGTACGTGAGACAAAGCCTCACCCTCTTTGCTGCTAAGGAGCTCAGGCTGCACTTCTTCTGAGACAGATTTGTTTCTTCTTTTGGCAGTCCATGAAATATTCAGTACTCTTCACCCCATCAGCTTCTCTTCTACCTGCCTTATTCCTCATCTAGCTTTTACATGCACGTGCAGCAATTTAAAATACCATACCTTGAGTCAGGCTAAGTTGCAAAATACTACCAAACCAAATAAGAGCAGACACATACAGTGTGTGTATGAGATGTATGCATTACACGTTATCTAAATATACATAGATAAGGATGTGCATATGTGCGGTATAATCTGCCACGCATTTAAAAGTATATTAGAATAATAATCCTGTGAGCAGTATGCACCACCCAGTCTTAAGAATAAAAATCCTTATTTAATGCTTAGCGGAGGCCCCCAGTATCCTCTGAGTGCATCCAAGGAAACCAAGATCCTGATTTTGATGGGGATCATTTGAGCTGAGGGATTGTTTAACACAGCATTTTCCATATTCCACTTCTTTTTTTCCCCATGAAGGAAATACAATGCACTCCCTTAACAAGCTTCATCACCCTCTTTACCTCTCCCCCCACCTCCCTCAGTGGGAGCATCTCTTCATGGTTCAAGGCAGCAGATGTGACTCCTGGCCATAGATGTCTTCGCACAGCTGTTTCACAAGTTTCCCCCTCACTGAAGCAAACACTTGGGTCTGTTTCAAAACTCTTCTTCATTCCAAACCTCCCTTTCCCATGGATTGATTTTCTTTAGTTTGTCAGGGAAGGTGTCAAATAACAAGATACTGTTCTGAGAAAAGATCATGCCAGGTAAAACAGGTCAGTTAGAAAGAGGAAGACCCTCGGCGAGGTGCACAGCGACTGCAGCAATGGGCTGAAGCACAACAGTGATTGTGGGGCTGGTTGCAGGGCCAGGTAATGTTTTCTTCTTTTGTATATAAAGTCATTATGCGTCAGAAGCAACTTGACAGCGCTAGCATCTCTTAGAGCAGCTTAATTCAGACAACAAAAACCATCAAAGTGCTGTTGAAGGAACAAGGGCTTTGGGATGGGGACATCTGGGTTTGACACTCTTCATTTGTCTTACTTCAATTTGGGCAAGTTGCTTCATCAGTTGAGTCACTGTTACTTTCAGTTAGTTCAAAATGGAGCTGATGCTTCTCTATGTATCAACAGTAATGTATGTAAAGGCCTCAACAGACTGCCCGCCTGGCAATGAGTAGGACATCCTTTGATCTGAGTTGGTGCAGAAGAAAATCTATTCATCTGAGCCCAGTCCCCAAGCTTGCTCCGTATTGTGAAAAATCAGGACAGTGCCCAGTGTTTGTATGTTTTGTGAGGAGAACCATGGATATTTTTTGGGCCCCAGCCTGCCTTCCCACCAGAGCACAAAGCGGAACAAAAACGAGTGCTCTGCAAGAAGAGTCTAGCTCAGCTTTGGCAGAGTCTCCTGGAAACGTGCTGGACAATCATCTCTTGGACTTCCTGTGGAAAGAATGGAGCAGCAGTTGTTGGACGAGGAACTTAGACATCTGTCATGACATGGGATCCTCCGCCTGCTGCTGCTCAGAGCAGTGGCTTCTGCAAGCTCTGGGCCATCATAGAAGGGAAGAAACACTCTGCGCTGAAGCTTCCCATCACCTTGGGATTTATGGAAGAAAGAAGAGATATTTTGCCCCTTCCACCTCATTTTGCAATTTGTATTCCTTATGGTATGTGTATGCTTCTGGATTTCACAGTGGCTTCTCTCAAGATTTAAAAAAAGAAGGCCTTTTGCTTTATCACCGTTTCCTTCTGCCTGTGATTGCCATGGTAGCTGCCTGACTTGGCAAATTGAGTATATTATCTGTGGCTCCATCCCAATTCTACTGAACAAATTGCTTCTATTCTTCTGAACCCCAGTCTCTCCATCTGTAAGGGATAATAGCCAAGGAACATTTAAACTGTGCTACTGAATCCAATAAAGAATGAAATTTGCCTGGCCTTGTAATTACTTTTAAGCAGACAAGTGAGCCCTGTTGGTAAAATTCTTATGACAAAGATTCTGTTCTCTTTTTCATCTGGAAAATTTCGAGGCTTCCCAAAACTTGCAAGTGTGTTGAGATGAGAAGAGGAAATTAGCATGCTATACATTCATTACAGAGAAGAATTGCAAGCTATATATATTGAAGCCATTGATGGAAAACAAGATTCTTAGAATTGACAGAATGCCATTGGGATGTTTCAACAATAGCTGGTTACGGCACTATAAGTGCTCATAAATCTGTACTAAGAAAGTAGAAGCCAGCTCTTGGGCCAGGCTACTGGAAGAGTCCCATATATGTGCTTAGTCAGTCCAAAGGTGATGCAACAGAATGTGGACATTGCAAGAAGATATTATTGATAACACCACAAAATTTTGCTGAAGATATTTAAAAAATGGTGGTACATCAACAAGGACCTTGCCAAAAATTAAAGCTAGATTCAGAAGATGTGAAACTTGGTGATAGAGCTAATGTCAAATGCTTGGATCTTAGTGGGAGATAGAGATTTTGCAAAGGCTATGTGGATTACATATAACAGAATTAACTATATGACTGTGTGGATCAGAACAAATTAGGAATGACTTTGGAAATACTGGGACTTCTGTAAGACGTGGTTGTACCCATCCAGAAACTGTATATAGACTGTGAAATAATTGTTCCAGTAGAACAGTAGTTCCAGTAGTTTAGTTCAAACAGAACATAGTGCTTGGTGCTTGGTTTAACTCAGGAAAGTTATACGTCAGGAATGTGTCTTTTCACTGTACTTAACTCAGTCTGTATGCTGATGGGAGAATTTGAACTATATGAACAGTACAGCAACAGCATTGGAAGAAGACTCATTAACAGCCTATAATAATGCAGATAGCATAACCTTACTTGCTTTAAGGGAAATGGATTTGAAGCATTTGCTGACAAAAATCAAAGACTACAGCCTTCAGTTCAGAATAGACCTCAACATAAAACAGAAATCCTACAACTGGACCAATAAGCAAATTCATGAAAAACAGAGTAAAGATCACAGTTATTGAAGATTTCCTTTTACTTGGAGCCATGCTCCCTGTTCATGGAAGCAGCGGTCAAGAAATCAATGTATTAAAGTGTTAATGCAAAGATGTCATGTTGAAGGGTAAGGTGTGCCAAATATAAATCATACTATTTTCAGTTCCTTCATGCATGTGGAAGTTGGACAATGAATAAGGAAGACTGAAGAATTGGTACCTTTGAATTATGGTGTTAGCTAATAATTTTTAAAATATCATAATACCATGAGCTTGCAGAAGAATGAACAGATTTGTCTTGGAAGAATTAGAAGTAAAAAGGTACTTAGAAGTGAAGATGGCAAGACTTGAACTCATATACTTGGGATGTTCACAGGAGGGACTGGTCCTTTGGAGGAGGACATCCTGTGGAGAAGGTCACCTCTCTGTGGTACGTGAGGTTGCTATGAGTTGGAATCAACTTGATAACATCTACAACAAGATTCTCTTTTAAAATAAAAAGCAAAGGACAAGAAGTTAAAAACTTGGCAAATTTCAGTGTCTTTGCAGTAGGTACACTACCTTCAAATAAAAGCTGAAATCTTGAATAATCACAGGGTCAGGGTGAAGGCTGGAGAACTGCCACTGTAGAACCTTCTCAGTCAGAATGACTAGAACTTAAGCCCTTTGGTGTAATTTACTATGACTGTGTGTGTCCACAGCCATAACTCAGCTACATCGCAAAGTCAACAGGAACCTGGCCCCAGCAATGACGAGGCCCCGTCAACCTCTTCCGGCACAGCTGGAAGTTCTCCTGTGCCAGGTAAGGCCGTCTGCTGGTACAGGACTCTGCCTGGGGGGAAACGTTAACCTGCTCCTGTCTTGTCATCTGGTTGCGTCTGTTCTCACTGCCTTTCTCCCCCACCTCAACCAAGGTTTCGATGTGTGTCTTGGTGTCTCTTTGCTTCCCTATGTGTCACTGGCTCGATCTCAGTTTGGAAGAAATTGTAGGAACAAATGAAGATGCTAAAGGGAGGCATGGGTGTGTGAGGAACGGGGTGATCCTGAAGCAGTTAGCTCCTGCCCCGCTGAATTGGACTCAATCCAGCATGGTGACTGATGATGACAGCCCATCCTCTTTCTCAGAACAGACAGGCAGCTGGCATTGAGGGGCTGGCTTGACCACAGGCCACCAGACTCCTGGCCAGGTGTTTTCCAGGTGTTCTCACAGTGTTCAGGTGAAGTGAGTTGTATTTCTTTTGACCAAAGATCTACCAGGGTATTACTTCGACCCCGAAAAGAAGCGCTACTTCCGTTTGCTTCCTGGACATAACAACTGCAACCCTCTGACCAAGGAGAGCATCGAGCAGAAGGAAATGGAGAAGAAAAGACTGCAGCTCGTGGAGGAGGAGCTGCAGACGAAGGTGGGCACCATCCTGTCCCCTCTGCTGTCAGCACCTCTCACTCACAACACTTAGGTACCTTGAACACTAAAGAGTGGCTCAGGACGGTTCCTGAAGAAACCTGGTAGAACCAGTGAGAACAGGCAAGGAACCCCCTCTATCCTACCCATCAGCCACCTGCCTTTGGAGGTGTTTCCCCCCATTGATTGTTACCTGAGTTTCATCAGTAATTCTAACATTGTGCCTTCTCCCAGTGAACACTTGGAAGCAGCAGCAGGACACAGTTTTAGTGACTGTATATTTTAAGTAGAAAGCCAGGATGTATAGTCAGGATATGAGGGGTTTTTGAGTCTCTTCTAAGTTCCACAGACAGTCTGTGGTTAGATGCCAAGCCATCTTGATGGTCATAGGACAGCAGAATGGAAAATCCTGTTCTGGGGGGTTCAGTATAGGTCACGTAGAAAGTCTGATGAACACCTGAATGTCCTTTGCTATCCCTGAACTCAGTAACTTGGTGGCTTCACCCTCCCAGGTAGAAGCTGATGGAAGGGGCTTGGGCAGAGGGGTGGCGCTGACTCTCAAACCCCTTGCCAAGATTTTTATGCACACCATTTTGTTACATTAGCACTTACTTTGTTGCCTTCTATGAAATTGAAAACCTCTCCTGTGTCTCATCATATAATTAGGTATCAATGAATTTTTCTTTTCTTGCTTTAATTTAGAAACTAACCAGGGTGGGATTTGATGCTACTTCTTTGCTGCGTAAAAGACAACTGGGTTTGCTCACCACCAACAAGTATACTCGGTAAGACAGTGCTTCACTTTTATGTTTTCTTTATAAATCCCCCCCACTCCATTAGTCCAAAGAGACTTGGGCAAAATAAATATATAAGCACATATATGTGTACATGCTGATGTATGTATATGAGTATATACATACATGTTGTGTTGTTGGCTGACTCATAGTGACCCTATGAACAATTGATCTGAACCTTGTGCTACCCTCACAACCTCTGACAGATGATAGATAGATTAATCTAAAGGAGGTGACATACACAGAGTCTAGCAAGTTCCTGTCCATGGCACATGGCTTCAACATCTTTCACCTCCCAATCTTTTTTTCCCCTTTCCCCTTCCTTTCCTGTTATGCACTATCAAATCAGATCCAACTGGCACACACTCCTTCTCCAGTGGAGCATCTGGTGGATTTGAACCACATGTCTCCAGGATTGCAGTGCCACCTCTTGCCAATAGGCCAACGGAGCTCCTTTGGCACATAACTTCAAAGACTGACAAATCCAGAGAAAGGCAAGAACCAAAGTGATGAAAAGCCAGGTCAAAGATCAAGATCATGCATAAAGCTATCCAGCTTTACTCCACTTCCTTATATACTCAGTATAGGCCACACATCTGATGAAAGCCTCTCCTCATTGGGTGCTCTTAGAAAATCCCTCAAAATAACAATTTCTTTACATCAGACCTCATCAAGGGAATGACTGTGTTATGGCTGCCAATACAGAGACTCAGGCAGCCAAGTTGACACACTGTGTTAATGATCAGAGTCTACCCCATGTCAGCTTGGCACCTGTTACATCTTTGCCAGAAATGTCCTGGCCCCACTTATATATTTTAAGAACACAAAAATTACTTTATGCACACATATAAAGAAGAACTACTTAGCCATTGTAGTCTTTATGTCTGCAGCTGGTCATATATAAAGTCTCGTGGTCATAATTGATACTTAGAACTATCTCCTTCATGGGTCACAATTTGTACATCATCTTTTGGGGCTCACTGGGACATAACTCTAGTCACAAGTCTGGGAGGGAGCTTCATAGGAAGTTGCACGCTACTAACTCAAGGACCTTGTCTCTGGCAATTGGAATCCCCCAGTGGCTTCTTGGGAGAAAGATAGGCAATCTCCCTTGCAACCTACCATCATGGAAACCCAGTGGATAGACTGCTGAGTTGGTTCCAATGTAGGTGGAAAAGTTACAGATCTGGAAGCAGAAATGGGTGGTGGGGGACACTGAGCAGTGTTCTGTAAAACATTTGCCTCAGGTGGGGGGGGGGGTGGCTAGCCTCTGCCACAGGTGAAACCTTAGATTCATTAAGGCCAGCTGAGTTACTCACAAGAGAGGGTAGAAGTGTTAATTTTATTGGCAGGGCTGGCTCAATGGAATTAAGAGGCTTAGTTTTCTGATTATCTGCCAACATGACCCCCATCTCAAGTGTCCAGATCCCATTTCTTTCCAATCACTGTGCTCAGTGTTAGCACCAGACATCATTCGAGGTTGGGATTTTAGTTGACCTTGTAATTCGGCCACTCTCGAAATAAGATTTTCTATTTGAATTTTCAGCAGTGTTAGCTCTGTTATTACAAGACATGAAGGTTTCTTTTGAGGCACAGTTGACAACTCTAAGATCTTTTATGTGATACTTGAGCTGTGACTCAGAAACTCTGAGCTCCATTTGTTAAATTTTTATTTCAGTACCTTCGTGTAAGACCAACCAACCAGCTCCCCTTAGTGTCATCCTGACAAAAGAAAAATATGTAACACTCGCTCACATACAGTCTTATTTCTCACTAATAACAGACCTATTAGTGGTGGTGTTTTGGGTGTTATTATTGACACGTCAAACTATGAATTAGGAGAGTCATTAGCACTACAGAGAGCAGTTTAGTAAGAATACTTCCTATGCTAAGAGAGGTAGAGTCATCAGCACCAGTAAGAATAGTTTGACTTGTGAACTAATTTAGAAACCCCACCTTTATGATTTTGTTTGTCTGGAACCACTCTTAGAACCAAATGTAAGAGTTCTTCAGAAAAGCAAAACCAATGAATTTGTGTATAAATATGTAGAGAGACTTATCTGAAGGACTCACATGCTTGTAAAGACTGGCATGTCCCCAGGTCCATGGCACTTAGCTGCAGAGACTTACAGGTGCAAGGTGAGGCAGGGAGCACAGAGATGAGAGACCAGATGAAAGACTGAGCAAAAAGGAGAGGAGTTTTGCCAGACTTCCTTATATACTTGAAAAGGCCACACCTCCAGGCAAACGCCCCTCAACTAATTGGCCACTTACTGCAAATCCCAACAAGGGGATGATTACACGCTATCAGCCCTCATCAAGGGAGTGACCATCATAGGTATTCAGGTATATATTCTGGGAGGATACTTTATAGAGGCTCCAGTTCACTTTTTCTGCCTTCTGCTTAAACTTGCCCTGGGAGCATGGTTCACCTTCTGGGGTATGAGAGGTGGAGACACTTGCAGGACTCCAGGGAGAAAGGAAATGTCATTATTAAAGGTGTTTACACTGATTTACTTACTTTTCACTCAGTTTTCTGTGAGCATCATGCCATTCCCCCCTCCAGACCCTTATCTTCCCCATTTTAATGAACTGTCTCCAAAAATAGCCCTGATAGGTGGTAGGGTGGCAGGTATAGTGGTAGGGAGTTGTGCTGCTAACTGGAAAATCACCACCATCACCAAAAAACCCACTTCATATGTGTGGTATACTAAATTTGATTTAAATTCTTTGGATGTCTGACATAATTCTAACTTAAATTTCTTTTGTTTGGCCTTTTTTTTAACCCTAAAATTTGTGGTATTGCTCCATTGAAAAAGTCTATCAGCACAGTTAACATTTTCCCTCAATTTTGAGCAAAGGAGACAAAGAGAGACGCAATTGACCCAAGGTGTGATAGAAAGGCAGGAGCTGTCTGACTCCAACACCTGAGCTCCTAGTCCTTGTGCTTCGCCTGCCTGCCCATGCGTGTGGGAGAGAAGAAACAAACCCAAGTCCATGGCTGCTTACAAAGCGATGTCTCCTTCGGAGCAGGCAGGGCATACTTTTCCTAAATTGCCCCTCCTTCTGAGAGGGAAGAGTTGGAGGGCTGGCCACAAAGTATTCACTGAGAAACCTGCTGAGGTAGCTGCCAGGTAGAAGAGAGAAAAAGGCAGGCAGTAAGACAGCTGTATCCTTACATTGTTCTCATTAGTTACGTGCCTTGTGTTGTTGAGTGCAGTCAAGTTGGGACCAACCCATAGCTGACCCTCCAGCACATTTCCAGAGGTGGTAAATTGCACAGGAGGAGATTTTCCATCTTTCTCCTTCAGAGCAGCTAGTAGATTTGAACCACATGCCTTTCAGACTACAGCACAACTTCTTACCACTCACTATACCACCAGGGCTCCCCTGTGCTTTTTAATGTTTAACCTCTCTAGGTCTGTTCTCTTCAGTTCAAGAGAAATGATTGTCTCAAAACCAATCCCTTGAGTTATTAACCCAGTACATTAATCAATGATTATTTTGTAAAACGAATTATCTATGAATAATTGTAGGAAAAATCACTTTGATTTATAAACCTTCAGTGACATTTTTACAAGTTTAATAAAAGGCAAAAACCACTCCCCTCTAGTTCAGATTTTCTTCAGTTCTGTAAACAGAGCACCCATTTCTTTGTTTCAGTTTTCCTAAGAGTTTTATGGTAAAACCAAAAGTCAGAATTACCTGAGATCTCACTCAGTTTGATTTCTGAGAGTTAGTGAAGAAAGGGTCAACCACGAAAGATGGTTTTAGGTTCTGCCTTTTCTCACCCTCTGAATCTTCATGGGTGTCTTGGCATGAAATTGACGTCCTCCTCCCCTCTCTTGCAGTCTGGCCAATGAAGTGCGAACAAGCTGCATGCAAAGGAACAAGGTCCGTATTGAGAGCACGGACCCCTCTGCTTTGGCCAGCGACCAATTTAACCTCATTCTGGTAAGTAGAAGGGAGATGCTTTGGCTGGGAAAAGCTTTCTAAAACACCTTATGTGGCTTGGTGTTAGCTTTTGTCAAGCTGCCTTTGTGGAAGGCAAATACCGTGAAAATAGATGGTGTCGTCTTGTCTTTCTGGTTTTTAACAAATCTCTGTTAACTACCTGGCAGCAGATCCCAGGCTAGTAAGTCAGGCTAATGCTGTAACCATTGTCATTTTGCCCCCCTTCACCTCTCTTGTGTTGCATCAGAGACTGGGCCCAGTCCCATATTGGCTAAGAACCATATCAGAGTATCTTTTCCTTGGGTGTGTGTCTTGGATGACTGAAATAGTGCACAAGCAATCAGGATGTTTCTGACCCTTCTTAGTGGGGACAAGAATTCATAACAACACCAGTGTGAGTAGCAGGGACCCGCAGGCCTGGGCCTGAACTTGCACACTTCATTTGCAGAGAGCAGAATGTCTTCCTGTGCTTTGATTACACCTAGGTTGGAAGCCAGCAGCCAACTGTATGAGCCCAGTGGCCAGGAAAATCGTTAGCAGAAACTTTGAAGCCCTTGTGTAATCAGAAGGACCCAGATGTCTCAGACTAGGAACTCAGTCAGCCACCTGGCCTTCCAGGCAAGCCTCATCCTCCTAGGAGGCTGGTGGAAAAGCCTGAGAGCATGAGAGGATACACAGTCAGAGCCTAGGCTCAGTGTTTAGCTGACAGGACTAGGCTTAATGCTCATTCCTCTTGCCCCAGAGACTTCCACATCACCGTTCCTCCACAGAAGGGGTGTTGGGGGCAGAACTCACATTCTGTTCTTTGGCCAGCCGCCCATGTGTCTGGAAGTGTAATATGACCTGCATCAAGAGAATGCAGACATAGCTCAGAGATATCACGGGTTCAGTCCAGACCACTGAGATTTAGTGAGTCACAGCTTTTTTACTTTTTTTTTTGGTTTCTCGGAGCAAGTATAAATTAGGCTTACAATTGAGTCTGTTAAGGAGCCCTGGTGGCATAGGTTGTGTTACTCGGCTGAGCGGAAAGTTGGCAGTTTGAACCCACCAGGTCCTCCACAGGAGAAAGAAGAGGTGCCTGTCAAAGGTGAGTTTGGTTTGACTTTCTGTATTTTCTAAGAAGTGTAAAATAGCAGTGTGGGAAGCATTTGAACTGTTTTGAGAATTAAAAAATATGTGACAGAGACATGAAGTGAACATAAGCCCTTGGAAAAATGGTGCCGATTAACTTGCTCAGAGAATGATTGCCACAAACCTTTGATGTGTTTAAAAAGAAAACAAAAAGCTGCAGTATCTGTGAAACATGAGAAAACAAGGTTTGCTTGAATTATCTTGTGGGCTTGCTTCAGAGCCCCTTCCTGGGCTCATCCTGTAGCCCAGGGCAAGGACGGAGTTAGGTTGTGAATTCTGGAATGCTTGCTCTGCTTAGCTCCCAGCGTGAGCCCCCCTTAAGTCGTTGGTGGGGTGATTTCGCCGTCGCACTTCACATCAGGAGTGGGTGTCATCTCCTAAACACAGGGTCTCTCATAGAGCTTTCCTGTCCCCCAAAGTTATGGGTAATTCTTGGTGTCTGGTGTGAGCCAATACAAGTGAGAAGTCGGCTGTGTGGTGTGTTATGTCTCATCACTGGTTATGAATCTTTGAGGAACAAGCTCTTTGTGGGTACCCTTGCAAAAGCAGCACCATTTCACCAGGATCCCAGCCTTGTTTGTGTTGTTTCTCAGCATCTACAAAACCCAGGTTTTGAAAATCATTTTGAAAGTTTTGTCTTGAAGTAGTTACTAATCACGTTATTGTTAAAAAAATGATCAAAGAAAATGCTAAAATTGCAGTAATTTCTGTCGTGGTTTGGGTTTTGTTTTCTCTTCTGAGTAGTGATTTTTCACTTGGTGGTAACCAGAGTGCCTGTGTTATGGATACACAGGTTAGCGAGTGTCCTGCTTCTGTCATCCGGCAGTTGTAACTAGCATTTTCCATGTTGCTCCCTGATTTTCACAGTGGCCACATAATACATCTCTGTGTGGATTCCTCTCAATCCTCTGTACATCTCTGCGTGGACATAAAGACTCTTGCAAACTTTGGTTTGTGTCAACACTGACCAATACCATCTTTGCCCCTTCTTTCACTGCAGTTCTCGTCCTGACTGCTGGTTTGTTAGACCAGACAGCTGATGGCTTTGCCCAAACATATCTAGGTGTTGAGTAGGGGGAGGTGGGCTGGCCATCTCTACCTCCCTCAGTGACACTGGTGAAAATTCACAGAGCACATGTGGGCCAGGAGAAGTGGGCACTTGATCAGAGGGTCTCAAGCAGCCCCTTGCTTTCGTGTGTTCACCTGCTATCCATTTTGCACTTGCAGGCAAACACCCATAAGAGCCAGGTCTTCACAGTCATCGACGTCAAAGTCAGCGGCTCCAAGTACAGCATCATCAACCTCAACCGCCTGCAGAACCCAAATTTCATCGTGAAAATGTCTGAGAGCCTGTATTTCACCAACCGGAAGGTAAACTCGCCTGCACCTTTTAGCTGGCTGCCCCAGTGTCAGAGTCAAAGTAGAGAGCTCGGGGAAGAAAGTTGCCTCTTTGTCCCTAAAGACATACTGCTTTCTAGTTCCTGAGAATGAATAGTGCAAGAAAAGGGCCTTGGAATTTTCTTGTTTTGAAAATTTAAAAAGTAGAAAGTGGGCTTAGAGTGGAGTACTGATGGTATGGTGGTTAAAATGCTTGACTGTGAACCAGAAGGTCAGGAGTTCAAACCCACCAGTTGCTCCATAGATTAGGCTTGAAGGAAAGCTACACTTTATATGGTCTTAAAAGCCTTTCCTCTAGGATTGAGTTGGTCAGAAAGCCACAAGAAGGCATCGAGTTCTAGGATCTGGGCAGCAGTGGCCTATGGCCTGGAGATGAGGGCATGGAGGTCCCCTGTTTGACTATGCTTGTTCATTTGAGAAAAGTCAGTGCATGTTTGGATTTATGTCTGTCCCCATGGGTCTCTCATAGTGCTCCATCTAGAGGGGAGTGTATCCCCAAATCATTGCCTGTCTCCTTGTTCTTGGCTGCAGGCATTGAAGTGGGTTTCACAGTTGGGGGTTTGGGGATTTGGGAAATAAAGTCCTGCATCTGTATCCCTAGAAGAGATACCATAAAAAGCTTTGTTCTGTTTTCCCCTCTGAGTTGGCAGTTAAACCAAAGTCATCCGTCTTGCTGTGTGCTTTCTCCACAGGTGAATTCTGTTTGCTGGGCTTCGCTGAATCACTTGGATTCTCATATTTTGTATCTTTTGATGAGCAGACATACCCTAATATGGACCTGGGCATTTAGGGGTGTGGTGGGGGAGTTGAGAGATTGCACGAGTGTCTGAGGGGCCAGAGAGCTGAGCCATTCAGACCCCACATCCCACCTGTTAGGAAAGAGCACCCGAATTGAAAACGAGGATTCACTTGGAGCACAGAGAAGCACCGGGTGTGCGCTCTGCCTGTATGATGTGTAATTAGAGCCAGAATCAGAATCCTAACAGTTGTGCTTGGGGGCATGCCCACTGTGGTGCTGGAAATCAGCTTCCAGGTTCACCAGGCATTTCGAGTGTCCATGCCAGACAGATGGTGCTTGAGCAGAAGAACAAAGTGGGAAGGATCTTAAAACCATAGGAAAAGGCAAAACTAGAATTCTTTGCTGTGGAGTCAGTCTGACTTGCAGTGCCCTTTTACTGGATTTCGGAAGTTGTCAGTCTTATTAGCAGACCTTGCCCGTCTTTCTCCCTTTGAGCTCCTGGTGGATTTGAACCACCTGAGGCCCACGGCCTTTTAGTTAGCAGCACAGCATGCCATGGACTTCCACCTCCAGAGGTCCAGAGCCATGAAAATGAGCCAGAAATCTATGATGACCTTCTGGTGATTGTGTGGGGCCGAGGGGACCTTCACATAGGAGACTGAAGACAAGGGACCAAAGAGGAAGTTCCTTTGGCACTGGACATGTATGCCTAGGCTCTGAGGCAGGGACATCCTTTATTGATGTTGTTGAAAACTTTTCTCTTTAGACAGTTGGCCCCAGCTGAGAGCATAACCTTGACCGCATCAGTGTTGTAGGACTTTTTTCACTGTTTGATGTCACAAGGGGGCCCAGTGTGGTGTTATCTCCTTACCCCCTACCCCCCGGCTGACTCAGAGATAGGGGAACTTGTTGGTGGCATACTAGTCAAGCTTTTCCCCCAGAGTATCTCGGGGAGATGCTCTTTGGAGGGGTAAATGGGCTGTCTTTGGCACCCACTGGAAGGGAGGTGACGTTTGACTCTTCAGTCTCTGCCTCTCCAGAGAGTGAGCAAGGACTCGTTGGCTTATTGCAGGGCATTGTAGTGTTGGGGTACCCCAGGCTCCCCCTGAGAGCCTTGGGGGCTCTGGACACTGCATAGGATGACTGACCATATGTTTCAGGGATATTGTTGACCCGCTCTCAAAGCCGTATGCCAGTGAGTCTGTCTGTGGTTCCAGTCCCGTAATAGATGGGTTCTTGGAGCTACGTGACCACTCATTGCAAATAGCACCTACTTGGGGAGTTGTCAGGAGATTAGAATTAGATTGTATCTGTGAGCCTGGTACATTATAGGCTCTCAGCAGAGCCCAGAACCCAGCCTTCTCGTGGTTTCCCAGGGCTATATTTCAAAGGGCTTCAGAGCCATTAGAGATCTGATTCTAAGTCTTAATGTAATTAAATCACAAAATGGCGTGTGTTCTGTAAATGCAGCTGCTCTCTGGCTTTTGTTTGGTGGGGGTCTGTGGGTGGTGGAGCTTGCTGTTACTGGACTGGTCTGAGGAGAGAAGCAGCTAGTCCTTAAAGAGAGAAAACGGGATTTTTTTGGCTTTCATTTCTGATCGTTTAAAACCAGAAGATGAGTTCTCAAGTTTCTTTAAATGGCATTTAAAAGTGTGGCCCACTGTAGATCATTCATCTTGTCCTCTAGTGGATGTTTCAAGTGATCTTCAGGGATGTGCGCACTTAGGTTTTGACAAGGGAGCTCTTGTGCTGTAGTCTGCAGGGAGTCGTGCTTCTAACGCAAAGGCACCCTTCTCAGTAGTTCGAATCCATCAGCTGCTCTGCAGGAGAAAGACGGGCATTCTCTTCCCGAGTGATTTACAGACTCCCACAGCCCTGTGGAGGGTCAGCTGTGAGCCAGTTCTGACTCTTCAGCAATGAGTACTTTTAGAGCAGGTGTTCGCAGAACTGTCGCCTTTTACAGAGCTGCCTAACACCTCGTACAGACCTGCACCTCAAGATGGTGGGAGGTTATACCGAATTCTCCACATTCACTTTTACTGTGCTCTTGGTTGACTTGTGCCCTGTGAGGGATTAATACTGTGAAACTGTATATACCATACAGTTTGAACATAATCTGAGTTTCTGCCACGTTCTTCAAAAGCACACATGAGTAAGTACTTTTTTCTCTCACATGCTCATCCTCTAAACACAGAGGCAAAAGAGGTTTATTTAGTAAGGAATTAAGCTACTCTGTGGACATTTGCTTACCGTCCCGTACTACAGGGTGTACCACCCCAAGCAACTTGACAGATTTGGAATTCCCTAGAATTCTTTCCCGATTTTTGCATTTTTCCAGGGAGTTGTATGTGCACGTTCATCCAGCCAGCATCTGTTAAGCGTGTCTAGTCCCTGCAGAGTGCAGAGACGTGATTAGTGTACATTTTGGTACCTGTGAGGACAGCTGGCTCTAAGGGACACTAGAAGGGGGACAGCATGCTCAGAGGGTTCAGTCAGGAGAGAGCGTGGCTTGGTGTCTGTTGTGACACTGGCTGTGTAGGGACTTGCAGGACCAATTCCTCAGAGAAGCGCTTGGAGGACCACTATCAGGGAGTCACTTTTCTAGAAGATTCCTTTGGTGGCTGTCTTAGTTATCTCCTGCACTGCTGTCGAGTCAGAACCAGCTCATAGCTGATCAGCAGGTTTCTGAGGCATTAAGTTGCACAGGAGAGAGTCCCTCTCTCCCTCTGGACTGCTGGCAGGTTTGGCACCACCTTTGGGTAAGCAGCGCCACTCCCTAGGGACTGGGCCACTAGAGCTCCCTCTTCCTTACCTAGTGTGGCTGTGATAGAGGTAACAGCCCGTAACTTAACAGAAGTACCATAAGTAGGTGGCTTTAACAAACGGAAAGTTATTCTCTTATACTTTAAGGGGTCAGAAATCCAAACTTAGGATGGTAGCTCGAGGATAGGAGGCGGCACCTCTGTGACTGTTGGAATCCACCAGCAGTTCCAAGGCAGTCTCTTCCTGTGTGATTTATAGTCTGAGGCACCTGGTGATGATGGGTCAGCTGTGAGTCAGTTTCAGCTCATGGCAGCAGAGCTCCAGGGGAAGGCTGCTCTCTCTGGAGTCTCGGGAGTCATCCTTGTTCCCTTCAGCAGCCAGCTGCCTGGTGTTCGCTGGCCTGGCATACAGAATATCAAGGACTGGGCTTTGTTACTCAGGAGCCAGGGTCCAAAAAGGCAAACACCACTTCCCCTCTCCCCTCCCTGAGTCTGTTGAGATAAAAGGTATTAAGGTCACACCCTAGGGGCCTCCCTTTTCAGCTAGTTAGGGCTGTGATGGGATTAAGGAGTGTTGTATTCCACCCTTAATCCTCCTACAACTATTTGGTTTATAGGATCATGGGGAGTCATTACATAGCTTCCACAGAGTGGAGGAAGGCAGTGAGGAGGACTTGAATGAATGCAAACGGGTGACAAGGATTTGGGTAGTGATTCATGGTCCTAGAAGTCCCTGGATGATGGAGAGAAGGAAACCCTGTCTTCTTCCCATGCAGCCTGAGAAGGAGCAGTGCAAGGAAAACCAGGAAAGAATGTTGATATAAAAGCCAAAAAAATGGAAGTAAATTATTTTAAATGGTCCTAAATGGCCACAGGTCAAGGCTGAAATCTTTATTTCTATCTAGAGGTTCACAGATAACTTTGATCAGAACCTTCCCTTCAAAGTGTAGGGCAGCAATGGATTTTGGGGGGCACGGTGAATGAGGATTAACATCAGCTCCTCCTGGCAAGGTTGACTCTGAAGGAAAGAGAGAGAGGAACCAAACGGTAGACAGAATAGTGGACAAAGGACGGAAAGAGCAAGGAAAGGAAACCTAAATGGCTGGACTCATCTGTTACCAGTGTACCCATTTACAGTCTGGGAACTTGATCATAAAATAACTCAAACAATTGCCAGTGAAGCAGATTTTTCAACGGCTGACAAGTGTGGGTACACAGGGAGTACCAGGGACACTCCTGGTGGGAGCCAGCCTCTTCGGAGACTCTGGGAGGCCTTGTAGGTAATGAATCCCACCACTAATTCAAAGGCACACAGTTTGAATCCATCAGTTGCCTCTGCAGAGAAAGATGGGCAGTCTCCCTACGATTTACTGCCTCTGAAAACCCACTTAGCTAAGAGTTCTAACCTGCAACACAGGCACCACCAGCACTGCTTTGGAAGGGAGTTGGTCTTTCTTATTGCAGGGTAGCAGCACGTTGGAACCAACCCATAGCTGACCGTCCAGCAGGTTTTCAAAGGCAATTTAATTGCACGAGAGGAGATTGCCCATCTTTCTCCCTCAGAGCAGTTGGTGGATTCAAGCTGTATCCCTTCCCAAAAAGGGATCACAGCCAGCTCCTTACCAGCAGGCCACCAAAACTCCCTTCTAGTAGCTAAGAAAATAGCCCAGGCTCCTCCAGGATACCAGCCCAGTGTTTTCACACTGCAGTCCTGGCCTAGCCGGAGGACATTGCATCAGTTCAGTGAGCAGCATTTGGAAATAAAATAGACACCATACCGAAGCATTTTCATCATTAGTAAAGGTAAATATGTTTCTGGGTATATATTCAGTGGTGCAGTGGATTAAGCACTGCTCCACTAACAGGAAAGACAGCCGTTTGAACCACTAACTCCTCTCAGAGAAAGATGTGACCAGATCTGGGCAGATTGACAGTCTTGGAAAACCTGCGCAGGGGCGCACTTCTGCTCTGTCCTACGACATCGCTGCAAGTCACAGTCAGCTCAGAAGCAATGCGTTTGGTTTTTAGTTGGCCTTGAGGAAAGTGTGAGGGATCCCTGGTGGCCCAGAGCACCTAGTTGCAGAGTGCTTGGCAGTTGAAGCCCACTGGCTGCTCCACAAGAGAGTGATGTAGCAGTACTTCTAAAGAAGGGTAATTCTCTAGAAGGATCTGTGACCTTGCAAACTCCAAGGGGCAGGCCTGCACCAGTATGACTGACTAGGGTTTTTCAAAGAACTACCAGTTTCAGAAAAGTGATTATTTTTTTTTTCTAGATGGGGAAGAAGGGAGAATTGGAATAAGAAAGGGTCGAAAAGGCTTTTCAACTGTGTCTGGGTTTTTCCCCTCTTAAAAACATCTGAATCTGAGAATAGGAAAAAAGGTAAATGTGTTACAGTGATTGATGGTGTCACTGCCTGTAGGATTTTTGCCGGGAATTCATGCCCATCCTTCGCCCAGGAGTCTTGTGCTTTATTATCCTTAACAGCTTTTTTCCAGGCTCTGTAGCATGGGAGTTGCAAAGACCCCGGGCTGTGCTACTCTGCTTCCAGCCTCACTGTTCGCCCATAGTCATCCAGGTATGTGCTCCTCTGATCAAGTACGTGCCCACCTCCCCGCCTCCAGGCGCTGCAGCCAACAGCATCCATTTGGGCAGTTGACTTGAAGAGGAATGGGACTTAAGGGCCAGAAGGGCCTTGGTCAAAGCTTACAAGGCACAGGCAAACCATAGCAGCAACAGTGGAGGATGGGTCCCCAGATTAGCACTAGGAACATGGACCCTCTTTCTGTGTCTCTCCTTTATAACTCACTTGGGCCAGCTCAGCCAGGGCAGAGTACATGTCCGTCAAAATGTGAGAGGCCAAACATTCATCTAGGCTGCCTTATAAGCATCTATTCTGAAAATTTCTGTTAAATTCCTACTGTTTGGGTGACTGGAGGCAGTCTGAATTCTTTTTCTAGCAATCTTCCAGAGAACGCAATAAGACAGAGGTCAGGCCTTAAGAGTGCAGGCTTCAAGGAAACCTGGCCTTGGGTCTTACTGTCTTGAATGGATTGCTTAACCCCTGTGAAATGAAGATAATACCTTAAGGGAGGCAAGCCACACTTAGCCCAGTGCCTGCATTTAGATTGCCAAAAGAAGAAGTCTGTCTTGGAGCAAGTGCAGCCATGCTGCTCCTGGAGGCAAGGAGGGTGAAACTTCATCCAATCCAGTACACTCTCTTGTGAGGAGGCTCCAGGCCTTGGAAAAAAGACATCATGCTAGGGAGAGGGTCAGAGGAAGATCCTTAAAGCGATACGTTGACACAGTGCCTGTAACAGTGGGCTTGAACATTTTGGAGGTCCTGAGGATGGTGCAGGGTAGAGGCCAAGTTCAGATCTGTTCTTAGGATCCCAGTGAAGGAAAGTCTAACAATTACTACTCACACATATCATCTTACAAATGAGGTTCAGAATTTGCCCCACAAAACTAATCTGTATGGTGCTTCATATCAGTGTCTTGAGTACTTGAATATTCTGTTTGTTAAGCTGAGTGGTGCTTCCATAGCTATTGTGGGGATAATTCATTAAAGATTTGTTAAGTGTTGCTGTTACGTGCCATCGAGTCGCCCGCAGCCCATAGTGACCATGTGTACAACAGCTCTGAAACATGCCCAGTCTGATTCTGACACACCTAATCCCATCTCCCCAGTTACTATGTTAATCCATCTTATCCCGAGTTTTCCTCTCCTGCACTGTACATGTATCAACTTAAAATTTCTTTTCCCTTGAGACAGAGGCAATTCCGTGGGTTGAGTGCATCTTTGAACCAACATACTGCCCTTTGCTCCTGTCATTTCTGTTAATATTACTATACAGTCAGGAAGGCTGGAGAAGTAAGTTCTCTGTCAACCCTTCTGAGCCAGGAACACTGGATGAGTGTCTCATGCTCTCACAAAACCAGAGTGAATCTAGAACTTTCCAAACAGCTACCTGTGGGGTTTCCCAGATCAAGTAGTCACTGGTATGGCTCAGGGAGGTGCAGGCCAGCGGGACAGGTACATTTCACCTTCTCTGCACAACAGGAGATCAGCCTGGCATGCTGTGCATTTTCCGGATTCCCAGTGCCTGGTCCTGTGCTTGGTCCCAGAACATCCAGACCAGTAACTGCTTCAGCACAGGTGAGCCAGGTTGCCCTCCTAGGTCCCAGAGGAAGAGTGCCCACAGGCTTCGGCCCTACCACCCAGCAGCCCCTCCTCCAGCCTGCAGGCAACCCTTGTCTTACCAGCTCACCTCTTGTCTCCACCAGGCTTGTCTCGGCAGGTCCTACTGACCAATGTGGTGACAGGACACCAGCAGTTATTCAGGACCGGCAGTGATGTCCTGGCCCAGCAGTTTGCTGTCTCGGTGGGTTTGGGTTTGGAAGGGGGCAATATAACATTCCCCAAGAGTGGAAATTGTGCTAGATAGAAACAGGGTCCTCCTCCTATGTGGTACCTAGTCCTCTTCTCACTGATACAGGAGAAAAGGGCAGCTGGTGAGTTTGTAAACATGTCTGGCCTGAAAGGAAGTTGCCTGATCCAGGAAAGGGTGGCTGAGTTGGATCTGAGAGCTGTGGTGGCTTACTGTTACATAATTTCTCTGCCAACACAGAAGGATGGGGTTCATTGGTGAGCATAGTTCAGGGGTGATTAATTTTATAAAACATAATGAATGGGAATGATTATATAAAATACAATGAGAATGAAAGTGTGAAACACAGTGTATATAAACTTTGTAAGAAAACTAATATAAAATTATTTTTTTAAAAAAAAAGATAAAGAAGTACAGAGATCGAATCCACCACTTGCTTCACAGGAAAAAGATGAGCAGTGTCCTCCAGTGTGATTTGTTGTTGTTGCTGCTGTCGATTGCCGTTGAGTTGATCAGAACTCATAGCAGCCCTATGAACAAAAGACCTGAAGCCTTTCTATAACTATCATAATTTCTCCAAGTTCATAGTTTCCAGAGGCATGCTGTTTAGGAAGTGGATGCCACTCCTGCTGTGCGATTTACTGCCTCTGAAAACCCTCTGAGAGTCAGCTGTGGTTCTGGCTTGATAGTGCTCAGCAAGCTGGATTTGAACTCTGGGGGGAGAATTGTTCTGCTGACTCCCAAGGTGGCACCTTTCTGATGGTTCGCATCCTTGGGAGAAAAATGGGCAGTACCCTCCCATCTGAGTCTGACTTTTTGGCAACAAGAACTGAGAAGCTGAGTTTAAACGGTTTTCTACTTAAATGAGCTTTTGGTCCTTGAATCAGCTGAAAAAAAATAGAAAATCCACAAATTAAGTCCCAGTGCATCATTCTTACTAAACTTAATCCTCAGCTTTCAAGTTACTAATTTTCTAAATGGAAATAAAAACTCTTTGTGCTATTTTAAAGACTTGCCCAGTAGAAAATGTCATCTTTTTAGAAAAGTGTGCAAATATTGCTTATAAAAGGAGTCCATTGCCCTGTCTTCCAGCATTAAGGACAGGTTTCATTCAGGCTTTCCCGTCTCCTTTACCTAGATTTTTAATCTGCTCCTTACTCATCCCTCTAACGTCTCATAAAGGACCTTGGTGGATACAGAATGCCCGTTGTTGGGGTTTCGAGTGGGACCTGAGGACCTGAGCACTCTCCACAAGGACACGTGGGGTCCAATGGTTTAATTTTTTTACTGTATAATTGGGACTCATCTTGGCTTCTAGCTCCACTGAAACCCATCTCCACCTGCACCTTTGGGAGCTCTGAGGTGTAGAGGAGGTGAGAGGATTAGGAAGGACGCACCCAGCCTTGGAGAGGAGTTAGTCATAGCTGGCCCTCTCTCCACAGACTCCTCTGCTGTATAACGGCTGTCGTTCTGGGGAAGTCTTCGGCATTGATCTGCGTGCTCAGCCTCGTGGCAAGGGCTGGAAGACCATGCGCCTGTTCCATGAGTCCGCCGTGACCTCTGTGAGAATCCTCCGTGAAGAACAATGCGTGGTGGCATCGGACATGGCTGGGAAGGTACAGATAGCCCTCAAGTCCTAAAAATGTGTGGCCTAGCCTTCTTCTAGGCCAGGGAATTAGCAGAATGGACTCTTGTACAACCAGGCAGGAGGGGGTAGAGGTCAGACACATTAGACTGTTAGGGAGCTGCTTGTGCTGCCCAGAGAGCCAGGGGGTGCCTCATCTTGCTAGGCAGACGTGAAAAGGTTTCCCTGGTTTCAAGCTTTTGGTGAACTTGAGTTTGAAATGAACTTTGAAGAACACCTTGCCCTCCCTGGCTTCCACGCTTGGGTTCTCCATGCACATGCTGGGGCCATTCCTAACCACTACTTGTGCTTCTTTCCTCAGATCAAGCTGTGGGACTTGAGGAACTGCACTAAGAGTTTGATGGATTTTGAAGGTCATGTGAATCAGCACACCTACCTGCCCCTGCATGTGCATGAGGAAGAAGGAATTCTGATAGCAGGTACCTGGGGAGGAGATCCTTCAGTTCCACCTAGTACTGTCCCTGGGGGGCCCTCGTAAAGAACAGAAACCCCCCAAAATGAGGAGGAAGTAGACTGCTGAAAAATAGAATGGATAATGTGAACATTGAGAACAGGGTACTAGAAGGAAGACGGATTGGATATTAGGGAGCAACTTGCTGAAACGCCCCGATGTCAGCGATGGGCAAACTTCAGAAACAGGCAAGAATTGGGTGCAATAAAACACAGCAGCCAGGGGAGCCAGGCTCCAGTCTGTTCCCTAGAGCAGCCCTTACGGTGACCCTTATCCTAGAGTTGGCTTAGCTTAAAGTGTAGTCTTCCTGTTTTCCTACTTGCATTTCTGCCACATGATGCTGAGAAAAGATCATGGTCAAGTAACTGTTTCTTGGTTCCTCAGATCCCTGTGGATCCTTGGCATGTAAAATAGCAAGAGATCCTTTATCCACTAAGCCTCCTTCAAGGGAATTTTAAGTCCTGCAGCTTGTTTCTGGGCTGTAGTGTATTCTACTTTCATGAAAGATCAGGGGGGTTACCTAGGAAAAACAGTAAGGATTTTCTATATCCACAGATCCTCAAACTTGGCTAATACTCCTCCAGAATGTACTTGTCCTCTATGAAACTTGGTAGCAGCTAAGGAGCATCACTTTGTTATTTTCTACACAATTTCATTTCTACACAGAAAAGCATTTGTGCGCTCAGTGATAGAAAAGAATACACCGTTGTAGGGTGGCCTGTTAGCTGCAGTAAAACTCAGGGAATTGCACAGCCCAGATTCATCCTGGTTGAGGTGATACGGCCCAAGAGTCACTCAAGTGGTCAAAGCAGTCATGCGAGATCTGTGAACCCCAAAGGCCTGCCCTCTTTCCCTCTGGGAGTCTCCAGTCCCACAGATGCCTGGGCTGCCATAATTGGTGCTGTCTTCCAGTCCTCAGTGCGTTAGCCCTGAAGGTTCTAACTGAACTTATAAACTGAACTGTGAACCAGAAAGAGCTGTGGGGCACTGCCACCTGCTTTGCCCTTGAATGTAAAGCATTTGGCTTTACACTGGATAAAGAGATCATCTTGTTAGTTCCAGAAATCAGTTGCATACCATTCAGAACAGATGGGCTAAGCTCTTGAACAGCCTTGACACCAGAAGCAGCTGAATCCAGGAGGTAGGACAACTGCTGAGCCCACCCAGAAAGTGTCCCAGCTAGCCTGTGTCTCACCACCTCCATTCCTACAATTGGTTATGGTTCTAGAGCATCAGGCAACCCAAACTTTTGAGAACATAATATTTAGAACTAATTTCCTCCCAAGAGTTTTTGTATTGGCTTACATGACAGAACTGTTTTTGCCTTTACGCATCATGAGGAATTAGGTGTTACCCAGTTGTTCCTTTGTCTTCTCTTGCTAACCTACAACTCTCCCCTCTTGCTTAGTGGGCCAAGATTGCTACACAAGAATCTGGAGCCTCCAGGATGCCCATCTGCTGAGGACCATCCCCTCCCCTTACCCCGCATGCAAGGAGGATATCCCCAGTGTGGTCTTCTCTTCCCGCCTAGGGGGCCTCAAGGGAGGGCCAGGGTTGCTCATGGCTGTCCGTCAGGACCTCTACTATTTCCCCTACAACTGATGTGCAGGGGGAGCCCAAAGGCATGTGAAATTTGAAGGCAAAGAGCTCATTCACTGCTCTCTTTCTAGCAAAGGCATTTTTAAACAGGTGCTCATTGTACACAGATCCTGACCAGGGGACCTCCAGGTGTTACAGTGTTTATGTGGAGACACTTCAGCAGAGTTATTTTCATTAAACCATAAGCTCAGACAGTGTCCAAGTCCTTTTCATAAAAGGCTCCTATTTCTTATTCTTCAATTCTTGAAATAGCCTCCCTATGCTTTGCTTTGCTTTTTTTTAAAAAAACAGTAATTTTTTATTTTTTTCTTTTTTTGGTGGAAATAACTGTTACCTCTTCTTTCACTAAAGCAGTTTGAAAGCCTAAATGATGAGACTGGCTGAGATGTGTTAGGCTAGTTACAGAAAGACACCAGTCTGTATTTGAGAAAAATCAGTTGGATAGAACAGAAAGTGAGAGCCTGCAGAAGAGATTTAAGACTGGAGTTTGGAATTCTTTGTCTTGGTCTTCCTTAATAAACCAACTTAATAGCAACAGCAGGTATCTCTGAGGTTCTCTGTTTACCGTCATTTTAGGCATTGGCAAGAAAGATCAGAATTTTAAAACACTAGTGTGCCTTTATCAAAGCATCTTCCAGAATGTTTGGTATAGGAGTTCATGTGATGGTGATACGAAAGCAGATGGAAGGGCCTTGTCTCAGAGAAAATTCGCTTGGGGTTTTTTTTGTAATCTGGGGTGGTGGTGGGGAACAATTTATCAAATATTCATACAAAGCACTGAATGAACCTGCTTTTATATCGAACAATAAACTATAACCACATTGCTGTGTGTTTTATTTTTAGAAGTAATTTAAATGGTGCTCTGGCTGCATATAGCTGCACACCAGTGTGTACTCTGATCTTGGAAGACACTGAGCCCATCTTTAGTAGCTGTGCATTTGTCACTTCATACCTACAGCTTATAATCACACCTCAGTGTTTCTAGTTCTTGGTTGCTTTTCTAATTAAATACTCCCCAGTTACAGGCTACTGTGAATGACAGTAGTTCTGAAATGGAAAATGTGGTTGGAAAATTGAAAATGTGCAGTTGTAAGCAAAACTTTGGATCACAGTTTAACAACTGGAAGCGTGACCCTCATGAGATAAGAACACCTTGGTCAATGTCTAAACCAGTTATTTTCTTTCTAGTGATAGAGAAGTATCACTGTCCTTTGCAGTGAGAATTTGTGAGGACAATAGAAATGACTAGATACAAACTGAAGCCCTTCCCACACAGTTGTGCTTTCTTGGTGCTATCAAGTTGACTTCAGCTCACAGGGACCCCATGTGACATTAGATCTGCCCCACAAGAACAGATCACCAGGTCCGGTTTCCATGGAGCCATTGTCATGTACCATGAAGTGGGTGGGTACCAACTGATAGCTGACCCTGCAGCCGGTTTTCAGAGGCTGTAAATCATGAAAGGAGAATGTCCCTCTACCTCCCATGGAGCAGCTGGTGGATTCAAATCACCTGCCTTTGGGCTGGCAGCATAGTTCCTTACCCACTAGGCCACCAGAGCTCCCTGTGGAATCAACTAGGTGGTTTAAAGCCACCTGTTCAGTTCAAAGCTGCACACATGACTGTTGTGCCACCTTGATTTAAACATTCCTTTGAAGGAGAAACTGCCCTTATTTAAAAAATACAGAAACATTCACAATTCATGAAGGGAAGGGGACAGGTTCTTTAATGTTGTGTTGAGGGTGAAGGTGTGAGTGGTGGCCTTTGTCCCGGCAGCTAATTCATCTCCAGCACTAGGCTCTCAGGAACACGTCTGACGGCTCTGACTACAAGCATGCCTCTAAGCCATATTAGAAGCCTCTGGGTAGTGTGGGTGTGCCCCAAGACACGTGTAAACATGAGACACTATGCTATTAAGATGTCACGAGTAGTGGCTACTCCTAGTGAGGAGGGACCAAGAATTTTGAGCATCTAGTCATGTACTGTCTTTTTCTGAGGACAAAATAGTAATGACAGACTAGAAAGTTACACCCCCAAAGGGACAGACCCCTCCCTGCCCCCACCATGTACTTCTCATGACAGGGTGCTACTTGGTTATCTTCTCCCCAAACGTAACTGTGCTCCACAAAAATACAGTGGTGAAAAGGGCTGCTGTTGGGTGCCACTGGGTTGAGTATGACTCAGTGACCCTGTGACCAGATCTGAACCCTGTCCTATCCTGTGCCATCCCCAAAGTCTGACACACTCAAACCCATTGATGCAGTGATCATGTCAGTCCACCTGGTTGGGGGAAAAGGAATAAAGAACAGGAAACAAACAATGAAGGGAAAGGAATCAAGGAAGACTGAAAGAGTTTCCGTGACCCCAGAGGAGGTGGCAGTAGCTACTGCCTTAACAGCGTAAGAGGTGAATGCACCAGGCAATAGAGGGAAGATGAGGAAATGAGTACTATATAGAATTAGAGGGGAAAGGCTGTACATATTTCCAGGTCATTAGCAGTAGTTTAAATCCAAAAATTAAGAAAATCGGGAGTATGCCCCATGCATAATCCAGAACTTTAAAATCAGAGTATCACTCGCAGATGGGGATAAAACAGCTACTAGAGGGGCACTCTGGTGGCCTAGTGGCAAGAAGCTACACTGCAATCCCAGAAGTATACAGTTCTAATCCACCAGATGCTCTGCTGGAGAAGGAGGGGCAATCTACTCCTGTACCAGTCAGATCCGATTTGACAGTACACACACACAAATAATAAAAACAACAAAACCAGTTACCAGAGTGATACACCAAAGACCAGGTACTGCTGCCAAACTGTGCAGCACCCCACATCAGCTTCTATACTTGGTCAACAGAGCTCGGCTGTGCTGCCCACCTCCTTTACCTTAGCCCAAATAATCCAGTCCCACATCCCAAAATATTGGGGTAACTGGGACCTCTGTCCACTCACTACAGAGGCCCATGACCATCAGTTAACCCTCAACTTTACATGAAGAGGCACCCAAGACCACATCCCGGCCTCGGCTGGCATACTCGAGGGCAGGAGTGCTCATCATGAGATTAAAATTCTACCTCATATGAAGTCTTTCTGTGGAATCTGGCTGGACGTTTTTTATATAAAAATAGGTTTTTAAATAACTGAGGTATTTGGAGGTAACATATCACCCTAGCATCTTGTCTTACATATGGCTTCTGCTCTAAAAGCCACCAGCCGGGACGGATGGAGTGACAGGAGACAGCAGTCTGTAGTCATCAGGAAGATTCCTTTATACTGGCGACTTGAGAACAGACAGTTCTGGAGTAGGGCCTCAGTCGGGCCACAGGCGGCAGAAGGGAGCAGGTCTGGGAAGGGCCGGGGTACTCCCGGCTCCCAGCACACGGTTACCACCCCAGAGCCACGGCCCACAAGCCTCTCGAAGTGCAACCCGCCCACCCAGTTCAGTCAAGAACTATGCAGCTTTTCCTTCTTCGTTTTTGGCCATTGTAGTTAAATCCAGCTTGATGACAAGATTTCAGCACAACAGTCTTTCCAGTCATGACAGTAGAGTTAGGAGTTCTAATCTCTTGCTGAGAAACAAAGTTCAGTTGACTTCTCTTGCAAGGACTGAAGAGATAATTTTTTTTCCTTTATGATGTGTTGAATTATTTATATACTTAAAAAAAACCAAGCCCAACCCAAAACAACAGTCCATTCTGTGCCGTTTCCCTGGAAGATTTCTCATTATCACCCCTCCAAGAATAACCTAGAGGCATCGTATGTCTGGGAACAAAGAATTAAGACACTTTAAACAATAAAAATCCTAGCATGACACTCAGAAGCAGATTGAGGGGGCTGAAGAGGTCAGCGAATGCTTTCATTTAGAAGTATGGTGCCAGCCTTTCAGGAAAGCCCAGTAGAAGAGACAGAAGTAGCAACAAGCAGGAACCGATGCCAGGGAAGGCCCATTCCTCCAATGCCCTCCCTAGTTAGGAGTCATCACGCCACCAGCATTGTCGCCTCACCTTCCACCCATTCTGGTGACCTGCACGCTAGGTTGGGTGGTCTCTGACAGAAACAGGCTTAGGTCAAGAATTAGGATAGGACTTTCTGAGGTCTCACGTCTGTTTCCCCTCAGGCTGTCCCAAGTGGGGAATGCCTGGGAAGTTCACTTCCCGCAGGCAGCTGGGAGTCAGAGGGTAACAGCAAGGGATGGAGAGGCTTTTCAGACTCGGAGAGAAGCAAGAAGTGACTGGCTAGCAACACAGTGACTTTGGACCTAGCTCTGCTCTGTGCGGAAGACTGTGGCCACTGCCAGCGCACACTGCTGGGCACAGGCTGTGAACTTCAAAGTCAGTAGCAGCCCAAATACACTCCAAGTTCCTTTCATATGTATACATGGGGAGGTGTGTGAATATATATATATATATAGAGAGAGAGATATATATATTTATTTATATTTATGATCTTTAACTGAAATAAATGCAACGGATTCAGGTTCATTCCCCTTTGCTACAGTCTGCTCGGCCCTCTGCCCCAAGGGTTCAACCCTCCAAGCCAGTCGCCAGGCCCACCCTGGCTTTGCCATCTGCCCCAGCCTCACGAGGGAAAGGTGCCTGGGATGAACAGAAGAGAGAGCACTTGCCACGATGGATGACCGGGAGGAGGGCCTATCCCAACGAGATTTCGGTTTCTAACCCTGAGAACCTAAGGAATTGTGAAGGACTTGGAAGGGAGCTAGGGTTAAAGGTCACCGGGCTTTTTATTGCAGTTAAAGCAGACTCGGACAGGATGGTCCCAGCCGCGAGAGGGGACAGCCCGGCGGTCATGGGAGCACTCATCACAGAAGCCCTGTCCGCAGGCCCGACAGTGGTGCTTGGAGAGCTTGACACTGAACTCCTTCCGGCAGTTGTGACAGTGAAGGATCTCGTGGTCAGGCACCCAGTATGCTGGCCGGGCCGCATCCTTCACCAGACCTGCAGTGGGGAAGGAATGACGACAGCTAAGGCACTCAAAGCACAACATCGTGAGTCCCCCCCTAACAAGAGACCCACCACTGAAAAGAAATACACATGTGCAACTTCCATACAGTCCTGATCAGAATCACCACGGCTGGGGTCCGGGCATTGCTATTTGTAACTAAGCTGTCCAGTGATCTTAAAGCTCTGCTGGAGAGAGTCTAGAATCAGACAAACCTTTGTTCTAATCCCAAAGCTGAGCACCTAGCAGCTGTAGGACTGAGAGAGGTTCCTTAATTTCTCTGGGCCGTGGCTGACAACCCAACTTCAAGAGCACTTGCAAGTATTACAGGAAATCCTCTTGTAGCCTGTACTGCACTGGTGGGCCCGGCAGCGGGGATGTGCTCAGGGAGTGCGTGCTGCACTTGGAGAGACAGCCAGCAGGTTGTCTGCGTCAAGGGCAGCTCTGGCCTCTCCCAGTTACTTCTGGGGCAGATGAAGCCCAAGCTTCAAGCCTGAGCAAATCCATCTACTCTGACATCCCTGAAAATAAAGCTCATCATTTCGTGAGCTGCAATGACTAAATGAGATCTAATTCATCTTCACCACCACCCACCCAGGAGGCCAAACTTCCGCAGGTCTGGCCAACCCAGCCTCAACCATGCACAACCATCTTCACCACCACGTCCCTGTGGCGAGTCCAGGCGCACTTCAGAGATATTACATGGGTTTGGTTCCAGACCACTGAGCCGTGTGAATTTTTTTGTTTCCTAGAGAATACCAAAGTCTATGTACACAATATTATAGTCAATTATGTGTGCAACAGCATTATGAAAAAGTCTGAAATATAGTGAAAGTTACAAATACGTGACAAGACATGAAGTGAGCACATTTTTAGGAATCTGGCACTAAGGGATTTGCTTGCTTCAGAGATGTCACAAAACTTCAACTGGCTAAAATGTGCATGTAAGAAGTACAGGAAAGTGAGTCCAATAAAAGAAAGTACACTTGTACAATCTCGCCATCCAGAGCTGAGCTGCCATCCTAAATGTTAAATAACAGCTTGGCTAGCGTGGCAGATTAAAGATAACCCAAATTCTTTTGACACTGTTGCCATTGAGAAAAGAAGTATATCTCTCCTTCCTTAAATCCAAACTGCCACAGTGACTGCAACAGATTGGAGTAAAAGCGGCCATGCCAGTTGCCAGCCCCGGCCTCAAGAGGCCCACTACTCATACAGCCTGTCTTTTGGAATATTAGCTCCTAGAGCCCTGGGCTACCATGTAGTTACTTCGGATATCTCAAGAGAGACCATGTGGGAGAGGTTCAGAAAATAAATGGCGAGGAAGAAAGGGTCTGCAGAGTCCACCCTTCCTGTTGACAGTCACGTCACCCAGGATGTAAGTGACACCGACTTTAACCTTTGAGATCAGTTCACCAGCCATATTAAATATGGCAATGAATGACTCCTGAAGCAGACTCTACTCCTTCCCCTGAATTATCCCAATCTCTCTCTTTTCTTGACTTTAAAAGCATGATAAAATGGTTGTTTAAAGCCTCTGCATTTTAGGTAGTATATTACACAGAAAAAGCTGGCACTGTAGCATGGTTGCTAATATATGTGCCATCAAGTTGACTACGACTCACAGCAACCCTATGAACAATGGCCCTGAACCCTCCCCTACCCTGAGCCGGCCTCCCATCTCTGTAAAACCTGACCCACCTGACCCTCCTGCCAGTCACTGTGTCAATCCACCTCCTCAAGGGCCTTCCTCTCCTGCCATTGATGATCTACCCGATCTACCCTCCCAAGTATGAGGTTCACCAAAGCCTGGCCCCTCCTGACAACATGCTCAAAGTATGGGAGGCAGAGTTTCAACAACCTTGCCTCCAAGGAGCCACAGGCAGTCATCAGAAGTGGACCTCCTGCTCCCCAACTTAATTTAGAGAGGCAAGCCATGCACCGAACAGCAGCCTAGGAAGTCCACCACCGCTCACCTCATACACTCTAAACCCCAGAGCAGCACCGCCAGGCTCACCTAGTGGTATGTCAATGGCTGTCACCACGGCTCCCAGAGTGTTCTGCACGGCCTCGCCCACCTTCCGAGCAATCAGTGTTCCCCCTTCGTCATCCACCTGAACTTCAGCAAAATCTGCAGACAAATGACAAAGGGAAAGCCATGGCCCTTTAACCATTTCTCAATGGAAACAAAACTCCAAAGCAAGGAGTGGAGCTCTTCAGGAGCTCCTCTGTGGGCACAGGCATGCTGCTCTGCACATAGACGGCCAGGCGGTAGCCTGTGGGTCAGGTTGGCCCACACTGAAATCAGATGCTGGTAAGTCTTTTTTTTTTTAGTTGCAACTCATTAGAGCTATTTTATAAGAGGTATAGAAGCATTGGCCTAGAACCTTCTCCAGGAAAAAAGCTCAGTTCATCCATCTGTGGTACAACGCTGTGACCTGTTCAGATTTTAAATGTTCTTCATGTATTTCCTTCCCTAGAAGCAATTCTGAGAACAGGCCAACTTTAAATCCCCCGAGAAGAAGGACTCACAGAACTCTAAGCAAAAAGCAAAGGCTGGCCAAGATCAGGGGAACAATTGTTCTCAGAAGAGTGATGTCATTAGGACAAGGCTAAGGTGCGTCCAGGGCCCAAGAAAAGAGGCCCTCCCTTCCCCCCCATATACCTCACCGTCTCCACATACCTAAATGGACACTTCTGGCTTCGTAGCAGTTGTCACACACACGCACAGGTGCAGGGCCCCAGCCCCGCTCGGGCACCGGTCGGGTCTTGGACGAACAGCTGTCGCAGAAGCCCTCCCCACAGGCCCTGCAGTGATGCTTCGTGTCATTGTCTTTAAATGATGTTGCACATTTGTTGCAGCTCTGTTCCAACCCCAAAACAAAACAGAGGCAAGTTATTGGCCATTTCTGCTCAGCTAAGAAAGTCAGCAGGACCCAAAGTGGAAGACCGAGATGACGCTGGAATGCAGGACCCCAACAGGGCAAACCTAAGGCCTCCAGAAACATGCAGGGCTCCACTGAAACACAGCTGAGACTGTCATAGTTTCCACCCCTTAAAGTGCTGAGAGGAAGCACCTCCAATCTGTTCTCACATTCAGGCTGAGTCACAGAATACCTAGAAGAGCCTGTGCTAGTTCCAGTCAGAATAGTAACAAGAATTCAGCATCTTCTCTGGCTTCCAGAAAGAGATTCTGAAACGCTGGAGCAGCTCTCCCTGAAGGAGGCCGGTATTCCAGTGATGAAATCACCAGAGACTGAAGGAGGAAGGTTCTAGCTCAGTAGGGAAAAAATGTTCTCATACGAGGAGTTATTCAAAATGTTCAACAATTGGGGGAGGGGCGCACAGAAATTGTAAGAAAAGAAGCTGGGTGAGGAGCTAACTTAATGACATAAAATGTTCAGCCCCAAGTTGGGTGCTCTTCTGCAATGACTCTTTCAGAGGTGACATGGCCTAAATGGCCTCTAAAGGTTCTTCTTCCTCTTTCAGCTCCCATGACTTCTGTCATCTGGATGTCATCAATCAGATCTACCAGGAAAGGAAACTAAGACCCTTCACAGAGAAACAACATAAAGGGAAGCCTGTGTGTGGAAAGAAGAAATTCATTGTATCCCCCCGCTTCCCGATCATCTGAAGTCCATTTTATTGGGAAAAATTCTGCTCCTCCCTCAAAGGACAAGGGCAAAGTGGTACAAGTGGACTGGGCCACACAGAAGACGTCAGGGGCACCCTGGCATGCCGTACCAGAATCTGGGAGTTGGGCCTCCAGTAGGCAGGGGCAATCTGGTCTGTCAGCCAGGAAGTGACAGCCTTGGTGGGTCCAAGGCTGAGCTCGGACACTGACTGAGCCATGAAGTTCATCCCATCCAACAGGCGCTGGGCAGCATTGTTGTTGTCCTTCAAAAATCCGTCAGTCTGAAATAAAAATGCTCCAGGTGAAGGGAATGAAATGGAAGGACAGAGAGGGGTGAGTTTCACATTCACCACAGCTGACTCAGAATCACACAGATTCCCGGGCTGAGAAGACCTGGGACAAAGTAGGAATCCCTCTGGCATCCAGCCAGTCATCAATGATGCATTCCTTTCAGAGAAGACCATAAGACTTCATGCTCTGCTATTCAATTCAGGACTTATTTTGCCCCTAACATATGCTACAGGAAATCCCCATGTGAAGATTGCACCTCCACCAGGAGGCCCCCAGTAGGACCTTCCTTCTAGCTCTGCTAATGCCCACCTATCTCTAGGAATCCTGTTGATTCCTAGAGTAAGCACAGTATGAATTTACGCACCCATCTCCCTATTAGACTCTGCACTCTCTAAGAACAGGAGCTCCTATTTTTATTTCTGCAAAGTACCTCGTTTAGTTCTGGGCACACAGTAGTTAAGGATGTAAGATGAAAGCAGGAATATTGACCAGACAGAAGTCTGCCTCTCTCTAATCCCAAAGACTCTGAGCAATGTAGCCTAGACATGGAATAGGGAAACGAGTGCTCCTCAGGAATAGCAATACTCTTAGCACAGAGATGATAACTCACAGAGGAAAGAACTGAGGAAAAACACCTACAAAAGCGTACTGACAAAGTTATACTAGTTCAAAGCCACATTAGGATGGGACAACCCTGGGCCAGTATGCTGAGGAGACAGGCTCCAGATCTGAGATTTACGCTGACATTCTGGTAAGCGCAAGCACTCAACGCAAAAGAGAATAAAGAATAGTAAGAACGCTTCAGTTCTGTGTTATGTAAAGGGCCCAGTCTGTTAGGCTTTAACTAGTTTTGTTGTTGTTGCTAAGGACCATCAAGACAGAACCGACTCATAGATGACTTGACTCTCCAGTGGATTTTCACATGGGAGGAAACTGCTCATCTTTCTTCCACACAGCAGCTGGTGGATTCGAACTGTGTACCTTTGGGTTAACAGTACAATTCCTTCACTATAAGCTACTAGAGCTCCCTTGTTTTGATTTATGGCTAAATCAAATGTGAACAGTGGCTTAATTCAGAGTGAGGGAACCCAATCAATATTATATGAGCACATAAATTTTTACGATACCATGAATTCAAAAGTCTAATTAAAAAATAGACTATTGGGAGAGCTCTGGTGGCCTAGTGGCAAGAAGCTGCAACTGCAGTCTCAGAGGTGCACAGTTCAAATCTACCAGATGCTCTGCTGGAGAAGGAGGAACAATCTCCTCCTGTACCAGTGAGATCTGATTTGACGGTACACACAAAAAATAATGAAATAAAATAAATTTTTAAAAAAATAAATAAAGATAGACCATCAGAAGTGTACCTCACAGAAGTCTACTTGAAATTGTTCTTCTTAAATGTACATAACAAGAAAAAGAATTGATGCCTTTGAGCTGTGGGGTTGGAGAAGAGCACTGAACATCCCATGGACGACCAAGAGAACAAACAGATATGTCTTGGAGAGGATATAGCTGGAGGGCTCTTCAGAGCCAAGAATGATGAGGCTTCACCTCACATACTTTGGGCATGTTGCTTGGAGGGGCTATTCCTTGGAGAAGGACATGATGCTGGAAAGGGTGGAGGGTCAATGAAGGAGAGGAAGACCCTCAACCAGGCAGACTGATGCAGTGACTACTGCAATGGGCTCCTGTGTGTCAGAAAGTGTGAGGATAGAATAAGGTTCACATCTTTTGTTCATAGGGTCACTATGAGTCACCCTTGACTCAACAACACCTAAGACCACCACCACCCCACACACACTTTATATTTTATATGTCCTAGTGGTGAGGTAAGAAGATGTGCTGTCAACCAAAAGGCACACGGTTCTAATCCACCAGCTTCTGCACTGGACAAAGATGGGCAACCTCCTCCTATGCAATTTACTGCCTCTGAAAACCTACTGAAGTCACTTCTAATAATAACAATGTAGCTAACAGGGATCTCTGGTGGTGTCCAGTTGAGCTGCTAAACCAAAGGCTGTTCATTTCTACATGTTCAAATCCACCAGGGGCTTCACAGGGGAAAGACTGGCATTCTCCTCCCACATGATTTACGGCCCCTTAAAAATCCGCTGCAGAGTCAACTATGAGTCGGTCTTGACTCAATAGAAAATAATTACATCATAGAATGGCCTTTAAGAAAACTTTCCAAAACAAAGACAAGGCTTTTGTATAGGAAAATGGTCATTGTAGCAATATGCTTGAAAAAAAAAATTATAAACAGCACAGATGTCCACAATGAAGGGAAAAGGACTCAAACTATAGCACTTGATGGAATTATCATTAAAAATGAGATTCATGAAAAGTGGAAGCAATGTGAAAATAAAACATATCAGGTGAATGATAATTTTATTTTCTGAAAATATGTGAATATGGAAAATGAGTGAGGCAAACAGGGAAATAGAAATTTTCCAGTGCTGTAAAATTATTCTAAAGCTGTACTTCTAATATTTAGGCAAAGATGAAGGCAAACTATTAAAAGTCTAAGACAAGAAAGGTCACACCTTCTTTAACTACTAATAATTTGCAACCCATTCCAATTTTACACTTACACAAGCAGCTGAATAATACAAGAGAAAAAGAAAATAAAGAATGCTCCTTACTCCAGGCCACACATGCACAATCTCTGTCCGCACCACTGTGTCCACAGGGTCTTGGTTTCCAAACCAGTACTGCCGGCTCCTGTAGACCACGCCGCAGTTGGGACATTCGATCACGTACCTACAAGGCAAATAGACACTGTGACCCAGCCAGGGCCAAGGGAGACCAATGCACCCAGAACCTTCAGTCACAAAGCTCAAACTCACCCAGACCAGGCATATTTTGCAAGACCCATCCAGGGAGAGTCGGTGGAAGCAGATGTTTTGGGCACTACACTGACTTCCTTGCCTCTCTCGTAGCAGGCCTGAAACATGGAGTACTCTGTCAGTTTCTTATATGTCCACCAGGCCCCATGGCCTCCACACATCCTCGACTGAGCCCTTGACTCTGTATAACACCCCAGCTGAGGGATTACACACCCCAAGTGTAACACATCAGTACAAAGTCTAAAGAAGTCAGTATCCTGAGTGGCAATGCAATGAGTGTGTGCCCACCCCAGGCCCAAAACGTGGGCTCTAAACCATATATCTGTTAAAGATGGGAGAAATCAACCAACACTTAGGGAGGATACTCACTGAGCTTTACATAAAAACTCAGCAGGATGAAGAACAAAGACGCTTTAAATAAAATAAAAGCGCTCCAGCAACAAAGCCATGAGAGTGCTTCTAGTTAGAGACGCGGCCTTGAGCCAAGAAGTTCACTTGAGCATCACATATTTGGGCATGCTCCATCTGCCAGCTCCAACCAGGGCACCAGCTGCGGGAGCAGGGAGGAGCCGAGGACTCACCTTGCAGGTATACACGCGGTTGTCGTACTGGTGAGAATATCTGCAGCGGCTCTTAGCTTCATGAGGCACTCCCTCCTTCCCATGGTTCATGCTGTTCTTGCATCCGGCCCTGCGAGGAGGCAAATGCTAACAGTGAGGCAGTTAAAGAGGCCCGGGCCACTCAGGCAGGAGAATGTGACCCTGGGCCAGGCTCCGGGCTGAAACCAGACCTTGATCAGCTAAGCCACAGGGCACAGAGGATGCCAGGTCATCTCAGAAACCCACACGCCTCTCTGCTTTGCGGTCAGTAGCACCACTAGGGCAGAGCAACTATGACTCTGCACAAGGAAATGGGCAAAAATGAAAACTCTCTTGGAAAAACTACCCAGTCGTCTAAAGCCCTCTGCAGGAACAGAGGAGCCAGAAGGCACCAACCCCTTGAGGAGAGAGGAAATCGGACTGGCTCTTAGGAAATTTAAAAATCCCATCAGGAATAAAATGGCAAGTTTAACCAGAACAGGCTGCCAAAATGCACAATAATAAACCAACCCCCAAAATCTGGTGATGCATTAAGGGGATGCTCATGCTGAACAAGAAAACTTTCCAAATAAACAGTGCGTTCTGCTATTCTGAAAATTCAAAAAACAGAGTCCAGGGCTTCAGAATGTCACTATGATGAGGGGAAAATGCTGGCAACTTCTGTCAGGGTCAGTGAGAATGGAAAAGTAGTGATCAACAAGAGCCTAAGCCCATCACCCTTTAGACCAGGCTCACAGGTGAGCCCGAGGGAAGGCCAAGTCACTGTAACCCACACGTACCCCTCTCTCCTTTGCAAGGTGGACCTTTTTACCAAGCGCTGAGGCAGCTCAGCACCCAACAGGTGGCCTAAGGGTTCAAAGCCTAAAGGCCAAGAATAGGCTTGGGTTTCTTTCTTCAATGTGTAAACAAAGGTGACGGACACAGGTAGTGGGAACAAGGCTGATTCAAGGTTGGATTTTTTATTGTTTGGCTGGTTTGAGCTTTTTTAGGAGGGGGGTGTCACCTAGTAGGACATGGAATCTGCTGGCTGACCCAGATACACTGCATTCACACTCTAAGAGACCACTGCGCAAGTCACCAGACGGGGATTTAATAAAACAGTCCACAGGGAGTTGCGCTGTTAACCCCAGGATGGTGCCTTTTGCGGTTCAAATCCGCCAGTGGCTCTGTGGGAGAGAGATGGGCAATCTCCTTCTGTGTGATTTACAGCCTCTAAAACCCCATGTGTGTTAGCTATGAGCCAGTTCTGACTCAACAGCAATGAGTTTGGGTTCTGAATTTTTAAATTATTGCTCAGATGAAGTTTAAACTCTTCCTCTGATTTTCAAAGCATGGTCCCCAGTCAGCAATGTCAGCATCACCTGAGAGCTTTCATTCTAACTCAAAGCACCTCTCTGCTCGTCTACTTGGTTTTGTTTTTGTTGTTGATTGTCGTTGAATCAAGTATGACTCATAGCGACTCTATGAACAAAAGACCTAATGCCTTTCCATTACTGTCATCATTTCTCCAAGTTTACAGTTTCCAGAGGCATGTGGTCTAGGAAATAAATGCCACTCTACCAAACACTGTCCACATTATAGGTTGTAAATCTTTATGGGAGGAGACCACCATCTTCCTCCTGAGAAGCCACTGATGTCTTCAAACCTATGACCTTTTGGTTAACAGTGTCAACACATAAATCTACTGTGCCACCAGAGCTCCTTGAGAAATTCTAGAAATGCAAATTCTCAGGTCTGATCTCAGACCTAACAAATCAGAAAATAAGAGTGAGGCCCAAAAATGTTTTAAAAAGTCATTTGGTTTTTCTAATGTGTGCTAGTGTCTGGGAATCTCTGCCCAAGTCCCTCTGCAAACACAGTGTGGTGCACACAATTCAGCACAAGCATCAACACAGGTCTGTTAGAAATGCAGACTCTCAGGCTCCACCCTGATCTGCTGATTCAGGATCTGCATTTTAGCAAAATTCCAACATGATGCAAATGCAGATTAAAAGTCTGAAAAGTGCTGTTCTACCTCAGGCTTTGTATTAGAACTACCTTAAGAATCTTTTTTTTTTAAAACAAAAACCAGTGATGCTCAAACTCTAACCCTGTCTCAAACCCTAACCCAGACTCTTGAAGTCAGATTCCCTGCAGGTGAGTGACATCCAGGCCTGAGTAATTTTGAAAGCTCCCTGGATAATTCTGTCTGTCTTAATAATGAAAAAAAGAAATATGCTTTGCATACACTCAAGTATTTTCTGGGGAGGGGGGCGAAGGAACCCTCAGAATGAACTGAAAACCCCTAGAAATGAAACTTTAAATCAATAATGTTCCCTGAAGTCTTCAAGCCAAATAGTTCAGCTTAACTAGCAAAGAATGTCTGCCTACCTTGATCATTATCCTTTGTTTTCTCCATTAAACAGAACAAGCCATGTGATCTAGCATTCAGTAAAGCTCATTTTTAAAAACAATTTCTTTACCCTTCTGACAGTGCTAGTGCCTTCAACACTGTATATGGAACCACCATAGTTGCTACTGATAGGACTTTTTTGGTGTGTTCTGGACAACTTCGTGGGGACTTTAGGTCTCACAGCACAAGTTCCTACAAGTCACCCTGGGCACACATCACACTCAGGTTCTGGTGTTGTACCAACTTTCTTGGTATAAACATATGCTCTTATATTACAGGGATTCAGGGCAGCCTACTTTTGATAAGAGGCTATACTGCAGTAAGCAAGACACTGGATTGTTTGAGTGGTGCCAGTCAGTGTGACAAGAAGCTTGGGTGGACTAGTGGCAAGAAGGTGAGATGCTATATTTTTTAGGTCTTTCATTTGGTGCATAAATATTTATTTTTTTTTAAATTTAGGTTGTTTATTTTTCATTTCAATGAACATCTACAGAGATTTTGGAATAAAACAAACATTAAAAAACTATCTATATATATATATTTATATCTATAGATAAAACCAATTTGATACTTGTATATTCCTTTAGGTAAGATCCATGTATATAATTGTCACTTACGTTATTCTGGTTTTCTGTAAAAAGGTATGAGCAATGAATAAATTATTGATTAAAAAAAATTAAAAAAAAAAAAAAGAAGGTGAGATGCAATCTCTAAGGCACTTGGTTTGAGGCCACCAGCTACTCTGCAGGAGAATGATGGGCAATCTCCTCCCATGCGATTAACTGCCTCTGAAAACCTGCTGGAGGGTCAGCTATGGGTCAGTTCCAACTTCGCAGAACGAACACACACACAACAATGTGACCAGAAGGGTGTAGCACTGTGCTATTTTAAGATCATACAACATGGGATGATCAAACTGCCAAGAGCAACTCAAATGGTCAGAGAGTTTACAGTAATGGTGAGGAACAACTCACAAAGCAGGATAAGAACCTTTAACATAACTCAGAGAATATACTGTGTCAATGAACTGTACATGTAAAAACTGTCAAATTGGTAAATGTGTTACTGTGTCTAGTCTCAAGAAAAAGTGGAAGGGAAGAAAAAAACACACAGTAGAAGAAACCCAAAAAGCAGGCAACTCAAAAACTTCTGCCATATAAACAGCCCAAACTGGAAGTCAATTTTCTACCATAGCCAGGTTGGAGTTTTCTGTAGATTCCTCAGAATCATGTGTCCTCTAAGCTCTTGATACTCAAAATGTGGTCCCTGCACCATCAGAATCAACTGGAAATCATGAGAAATGCATTAACGTGACCCTCACTCTGCCTGATTTTGATCAGAATCTGTACCCTAACCAGGCGCCAGGGGATCTACAGGCAAATTCAAGTCTGAGGAACACCCTGATACAGCCCTTTTCCCAAGGGAGGGTGGAGGTGGTGGCCCCACTTACCCACAGCTGAGACACAAGGAGGAGCAGGTAAAGTACTCATCTGGAAAGAAAGAGCTGTGCGCCATCTGGTCATCCGGGATCTCACCGCTGAAGCGGTCGCTCAGTGCCTGCGGAGAGGGAGGGTGACACATGAAGGCGCTCGGCAGAGTCTGCTGCTCTGGCTGGCCCATCCACCGCATGCCTTTCAAGGATCCCCTCAGTGTCCGCCCAGGTCTCACAAGCTGGGAGAGGCAAATGGATCACACACCAACCTTTACCACATGAAGCCTCAAGAAAGGACTGATCCACTTCCCAGCAAGTCAGAAGTAAACAGATGTATTGTTCTCTAGTTACCCTGGACATTATAAGCACATTATACACTCAATTTTTTTTTATACAAAACTATCAAAGATACTGACTAATGCGCAGGCCATCTTTGTGATACTGACACCGAGAAATGAAGCCTTGGGATGGTGTCTTGTCTGCACGTTAAGGGCAGTGCTAAAAAAAACAGCTGGGAATTTCCTAAGTTTCTACTCCTGTTCTCACCACAGGTGTTCCCGAGAGTTCACCAGGCCACAGAACAAGCTTAACACAGACAAAACGTCATCAAGCAAGAAAGCAAGGGAGAATTATTACAGTGTTGGGCAGCCTTTTATCAACTCTAGTAACCTAAAAGACAGCAAAGAGCCAAAATATAAGCCAAGAAGAAAAACATAAGGTATTTGCAGAAGCAAGTGGAACAATTTATCTTGAAAGGCAGACTCTAATCTCTGTTTTCATTCATTATTTGATATTAAAAGTATTCTTTAACGCTGGTATTTTCCTCAAGGTTTTGGATATATACTGTGGAAAAAGTGACATAAATGATATGAAATGGGCTTTAAAAATCATTAAATATGTGCTGCAATCCTGAAGGCATGCAGTTTGAATCCACCAAATGCTCTGCTGGAAAAGGAGGGGCAATCTCATTCTGTGACAGTCAGATCTGACTCAATGGTACACAACAAGGAAAAAAAATCATTAAATATACACAGTTCTAAGGGTGTAACAATCTTGTCAGCCTAGAGCAGACAGACACCAATCAGCGGAAGAGAACAGACTGTAAAGAGACAAAATGCAAGAATTCTAGGAAGATAATATAAACAATCAATTACTCAAAATCGCCCCTCCAAATATAGCAAGAAACATAAGGAAACAATGTTCAGGGTTTGGGGTTTTTTTTTATTTTTTTTTGTGTATGTGTGTACCATCAAATTGGATATGACTGGTATAGGAGGAGATTGCCCCTCCCTCTCCATCAGAACATCTGGTGGATTCGAACCATACCTCTGGGATTGCAGTGCAGCTTCTTGCCACTAGGCAACCAGAGCTCCATAACAATGTTCAGTTTTTTGTTTGTATGTTTTAGAGTTTTTTCTTTTTCTTAAATTAATTTTAATGAAATTTACAGAGACTTTGGATTTCCATTCATTCACTGTTGCACTTTTCTCCCTAACTCCCCCAGCCCCCAATTCACTCTTCTCTTTGAGAAATAAAAAGAAAAATTCTTTCATTGTTTTACAATCCCTCCCCCCAAGTCCACTCCACTGTGCAGCCTTCATTCTGGATTCCTGTCATGACAATAATACCTAATCATATATCCCTTTTAAATAGCTCTCGTCCTCATCTGTTTCAATGCAGTATACATTATTTATCCCCTCTTTCTCAGTCTCCCCTGAAGTTCAATGTCAGTCCCATTTTACAACAGTGGTACTATGCAGTATTTGTCCTTCTGTGACTGGGATATTTCACTCAGCATAATGTCCTCCAGAGTCATCCATTTTGAATAATATTTCATGAGTTCCTTGTTTTTCAATGGAGTATTCCATTGTGTGAATACACCACAGCTTCTCTATCCATACATTTGTTGATGAGCACTTGGGTTGTTTCCAACTCTTTGCTATTGTGAACAAAGCCATGATAAACATGGGTGTGCATATATCTGCTTGAGTGGCGGTGATGGTTTCTTTAGGGTATATTCCCAGTAGTGAAATTGCAGGGTCAATTGGTATTTCTATTTCCAACTTTTTTTTTTTAATTTTTGTGTGAGTGTACCGTCAAATCAGATCTGACTGGTACAGGAGGAGATTGCCCCTCCTTCCCCGGCAGAGCATCTGGTGGATTCGAACCGTGCACCTCTGGGATTGTATTTCCAACTTTTTGAGAAAGCGCCATACTGACTTCCACAGTGGTTGCACCATTTTACACTCCCACCAACAGTGAATAAGGGTTCCAGCTTATCCGCAACCTCACCAGGATTTGATGTTTCCTGTTCTGTTAAATTTTGCTATTTTGACTGGGTTGAGATGCTATCTCATAGTTGTCTTAGAGCTACGGATTTTGAACATTTCTTCATGTGTTTGTTTGCCATTTGAATGTCATCTTTGGTGAAGTGTCTTTCATATCCTGTGCCCATTTTTCAACTGGTTTATTAACCTTTATCTTGTTGTGGTGCCTGAATATTTTATAAATTCTAGATATAAGTCCCTTAATCTGACATTACCAAATATTTTTTCCCCAGTCTGTGGCATCCCTTTGTACCCTGTTGGAGAAGTTTCTGGATGTGTATAGAGATTTGCTTCTTAGAAAGTCCCATTCATCTATTTTATCCTCTCCTGGTTGTAGAACAATGTTCAATTTTTAAAGACTCAGAATTGTAGAGCAGAAAAAAAGCAGTTGAGAACTACAGACAGGCAAGAATCAACAAATCCACAATGTACAGCTTGGTGTTTGTCTCTCTGTAGGAGCTGTGGAGTCTGCTATCAGTCAACTCTTGACTTGCCTCCCTGCACAGTCCATAGCCAGTCTCTGAAACCAACAGGAAAGCTCTCCTGGAAAGTCAGTTCAGGTCTGTCTGCTCCCTCCTTCCATAAGGGCTGAGAATGGCTGACTGCTATGTCCCCAGAAGCAAGCATCTGTAGGGGAGGCTACATTCACTGTCGCTATGTCTCAAGTCAACAACAATTCATAGTAACTATATATCTATGAACACCAGATCCAAACTTGGCCTTATTCCTGGGACACCCTCATCTCTCTCATGTTCAAGGCCACTGTGGCAGTCAATGTGTCAATCCACCTCATAGAGGGTCTTCCTCTCTTTGACTGACTCTACCTTTGCCAGCATGATGTTTTTTCCCAAGGACTGGTCCTTGTTCAAGGAACATATGGATGGTCTCACAGACTTCCATGGTATCATGGTCAGCACAGACTTCCATCGATAGCAACTTGGTTCTAACTATTCCTCCTCATAGCTGGCACTAAGGACGGCTAGGTGAGGTTGCTGTGTGCTAGGAGGAATGCATCTTGAGTGGATGCTGTAGGCACAGCTAGCACACTCTGGAATGGGTCCAGTTAGCAACAAAGCAGATCGCCTTGTTTATCTCCCACAACCAGACACTACTGGCTCCTAGGCTAAATTCCAACAGAAAATTCTCTACCATAGAATCAGAAAGTGGGTCATTTAAATGGATTCTTCTCCACTAACCACTACAGGGCTACTGAGGCTTAAAACCAACAGGAGAAATTGCTCCTTCTGGCCCCTTCTCCTCCTGAAATGGAAGAAAGTTGGCCCATGCTTGCCCTGAATGCCAGCTCAGATATACGCAGCCCCCAGAAAGCTGGGAAGGAACCCTGGAGCAAAATCAGAGGGCAGCAGCAAGCCTTAAAGGAGCTCATGGAATGTGTTTTCCAATGAAAAATAGAATTCCAAACAGAAAATAAAAGACAAAAAGACAAAGTCCCCTGATTAGGACAGGACATCTCTACTTTGTAGAAGTGCCAGGGCTTCAAAGACTGACCTCAGTGGATTCTCTGGTGTGTCCATAAGAGACTGGAAAGTTAAAAAAGATCTGGAACTTCTAAATACCAATTAGACTTAGTGAAGGAGAGAGAAACAGATGACAAAAAGAAGAAACAGTAAGCAAAGAACCCCTAAGAGTTTCTTAGAAATGTAATGTGGGCAAAAATACCAACTACTGCAGAAAACTGAGAAAATTAATCACTTTGAAAATGTCAATGGCCCAACAACATATCACAAGATATAAAAGGAACAGAGGAGCCATGCAAATGAACACCAAATCAATATGACAGAGAGAGTGATCAAATAATGGAAAAAATCAGAAGAATATAAACACATTAAACATAATTAGAAAGGTAAGGGGAAATACAGGTACAAAGCTGAAAGATACAAGGAAAACAATGAAAGAATAAACTAAGAGTCTTTAAAAATTATTGCAAATCAAAGAGAAAATAATGGGAATGAAAAATGGAATGGAATGGCTTAGAGTACATCTAATTAGGCAGAAGAAAGAATCAGCAAATTAGACGATGTTGTTGTTGTTGTTAAGTGCCATCGAGTCACAGGCGACTCATAGCGACCCTATGAAGGAGAGTCAACGCTTGGGTGCCTTTCATCCTCTCTCCAGGTTCATAGGGTTCCCAGAGGCAAGCTATTACAGAAGTGAACGCCACTCCTCCTACCACGCTTGTTTAATCAGGGAGCTCCACCCCACTTTCAGTCCGCACTGGGTAGCCAACCATTAACGCATTTGACACATCAGTGTCACAGTGTTCTGCCTCACAGCAACCACAAGTGACTGCGGGACGGCAACTTGTACACCAGGGCTATACAATCTAGAGGAAAGTCTGAACAAAAACAATGAAAGACTGGCCGGAGGGCCACAAAGTAAAAGTCTACCTTTGTCTTGGTCACACCGTTTTCTTTTCACTGGGCCAGCTGATCTCTCTCTTTCTCTCTCTGTTGATGTTACTGTTGTTAAGTGCCCTTGAGTCGCAGGCAACTCATAGCTCTCTGGCCAAAGGATCACAGCCACCCTGGGTGGGGCAAACTTGCGGCACATAACAACAACAACAACAACCTCCCTCCTCCTCTTCTCCTATCGGGCTTGAAGCCGCTGGTGCCTTCAACCCAAGGCCAAGCATGGCTTCCCTGGCTCTTGGAGGCAGAGTCGCCTTTCTCCAGAGACCACCACAACACAACACAACACAACTCCCACATACACAGCATCATGCTCTCTGCCCAAAGGATCACAGCCACCCTGGGTGGGGCAAACCTGGGCGATTATGGCCATCTCCTCCCTCTTCTTCTTCTCCTTTCGGGCTTGAAGCCACTGGTGCCTTCAACCCAAGGCCAAGCATGGCTTCCCTGGCTCTTGGAGGCAGAGTCACCTTTCTCCAGAGACCAACACAACACAACACAACTCCCACATACACAGCATCATGCTCTCTGCACAAAGGATCACAGCCACCCTGGGTGGGGCAAACCTGGGCGATTATGGCCATCTCCTCTCTCCTCCTCTTCTCCTTTCGGGCTTGAAGCTGCTGGTGCCTTCAACCCAAGGCCAAGCGTGGCTTCCCTGGCTCTTGGAGGCAGAGTCACCTTTCTCCAGAGACCAGCACAACACAACACAACTCCCACGTACACAGCGTCGTGCTCTCTGCAAAAGGATCACAGCCACCCTGGGTGGGGCAAACCTGGGTGGGGTCACCCTGGGTTGGGTAAACCTGGGTTGGGTAAACCTGGGTTGGGTAAACCTGGGTTGGGTAAACCTGGGCGATTATGGCTGTCTCCTCCCTCCTCCTCTTCTCCTATCAGGCTTGAAGCCACTGGTGCCTTCAACCCAAGGCCAAGCGTGGCTTCCCTGGCTCCTGGAGGCAGAGTCGCCTTTCTCCAGAGACTGCCACAACACAACACAACACAACACAAAAGATACTTTAAATTATAGATGCTGAAAGACCAAGAATGGTGTCTCAAGAAAGCTAAGCAGAGATTAGTGGAATCAGGGAACAACAATGAGGCCTAATTTATATATCCTGTGTTCCAGAATGAGAGCAAGAGAGAGAAGGACAGAAAAAAATATTTGAAAGAGGAAGAAAAAATTCTGGAAACATCTCCAATCTAATAAAAGTTGTGAATCTAAAAATTAAAGAAGTCCAAGGAATTCTAAGTAAGCAAGATAAACTGAAAGAGCTCCACACCAAGATACATCAGAATCAGGCTCTGAAAAATTAATAGAGAACCTTAAAAGCAGTGAGTATATAGCCTTGAAAACCTGATGGAGGAAGAGTTGGAATAAATGTGACAGCAGTGAGGATAGATAAGAACTAAAAAATATACAAAAAATATTGACAAGGATAGAAAGAAACTGGAACCCTTATCTATTGTGTCTAGGAATACAAAATGGTACAACATTGAGGAAAACAAACACTAAAAATAGAACTACCACTGTTGTTTTTTTTTTGTTTTTTTTTTAAATACAACATGGAGTTTATTCAACGTGAGTTTACAAACCACTTCAAGACTAGATTTGAGAGACAAAGGAAGACACTAAGCTGCAGGAAATAAAATAAGGGCAGTGAGGCTCTGTGTCAAGAGGGAACACTCTTCACTGCTTGTGGGGAGACAGGTCTGAGGCTTCTCTGGGGTTATAGGTCCTTCCATCTGGGAATCCTTGCCTCCATGGCGGCAGGACCAATGTCCAAGAAACATTGGGATACAGATCCAGATTGACACAGTCAGTTGTAGAACATTTACCACTGTTGTTTTAAGTGCAGAACTACCTTATGATTCTCCAATTCTACTTCTGGTGAAAGACCAGTCTATCCAAAAAAATTTGAAATCAGAGAATCCAAAAGACATCTGCATACTAACGTTCACTGCAGCAGTATTTATAGCAGCCCAGAGGTGGGAATAGCCTAAATACTCATCAATGAATAAATAAACAAAATTGAGTATATACACACAACAGACTCTCCCAGTAGAAGAAATGAAGTCTTAATATACGCCCACTATTGTGGCTGGTACTTAAAGACATTATGCTGAACAAAAGAAAACAATCATAAAAGGACAGATATTATATGACTATCGCTGGCGAGGGGGGGGGGGGGGGGTGTCAGGATGATCACGGACTTGCAGCTCGCCATCTTCACCAACATGCTGGGCGTGTCGCTCTTCCTGCTTTGTCGTTCTTTACCTCTACATTGCCGTCAACAACCCCAAGAAGCAAGAATGGGAGTGGCACTTTCCCCCGCCCCAGGGTTCCAGGACATAGTCTGAGGCAAGATGGAGGGTGTGAGGGGCCTTCACACTTCACTTCATCCCTTCTGTCCATCACAACATACAAAGGAACTACATCTGGATTTTTCCAAACAACTTTTATTTCCTCAAAGTCTTCCTTAACCCTATGGAACAAGAAGGGGGCACTGAATAGGGCCCAGTGTAGGGGCTGATTTCTTTTCTACTCCCTCAATATAAAAATATAGATATATAAAAAAAGATGTGTCAAAGTTATGATTGTATGCATTCTGCAAACTTATTCAATCTGTATGCTGAACAAATCATTCAAGAAGCTGAACTCTGAAGAAGAATGTGGTTTCAGGATTGGAGGAAGATTCATTATGTGGATGACACAATCTTGTTTGCTGAAAATGAGGACGACTTGATGCACTTGGTGCAGAAGATCAAACACTGCATCCTTCAGTATAGATTACATCTCAATTTCAAGAAAACAAAAACTCCTCACCATTGGACCAAAAGGCAACAACATGATAGATAGAGAAAAGACTGACACTTGTCAAGGACTTCATCTCACTTGGATCCACAATCAATGCCCTTGGTACCAACAGTCAGGAGACCACGAGGCATACTGCAGTGAGAAAGTCCCTGGGTAGTCACTGAGGAGCAATGTCCGTTTGAGGAGTAAGGTGTGCCTGATTCAGGATATGGTCTTTTCTATCACTTCCTATGTTGCCGAGAGCGGGACAATAAATAAGGCTGAGAGGGGAACTGATACCTTTAAACTGTGGTGTTAGAGAGGAGTACTGAATATCTCATGAATTGCCAAAAGAAAAAATAATTATGCCTTGGAGAAGGTGCAAAGTCTCCATGGAGGCAAAGATGTCAGCGAAAGAAAGGAAGATGTTCAACAATATAGATTGACACAGTGACTGCAGCAATGGACTCAAGTATGTCAGAGATCTTGTGGATGGTTCTGAATAGGACAGGGTTCAGATCTGTTATTCACAGGGTTGCTATGACTCATACTTGACAGCACCTAACAACATTGATGGGAGACCAAGTTGCAACCCTGAGCTGTTGTTGCTGCCCTGAATAAGATCAATTTGACCTGACAAGGCAAAAAGCTGCATTGCAATCCCAGAGACATGTGGTTCAAATCCACCAGATGCTCTGCTCGAGAAGGAGGGGGAATCTCCTGTACCAGTCAGATCAGATTTGACGGTACACAGAGAAAAAAATTTAAAAAAAAAATGGTCTGACAAAAAAGTCATGCACAATATTTATGGACCGACCACTGGTCTGTCACTCTGTCCCCTGGGTTGTCATTTTTCTTACAGATTTTTAGAATTATTTTTATTTATTATTCTAAAAACTCTTTCTTGAGTTTCATTTAAATAACTGCTCTTAATTTCTAGTGTGATTTTTCACTTTCTTTACAGTGGTTTTACTAAGCCAAAGTTCCTAATTTTAACAGAATTCTATTTGTCAATTTTTCATTTATACTTTTTGTATCTTAATACATTTTCCTGGCTTAAAATAAATATAATAGTAGCTCAATAATCATAATGCATCTAAATTTTGGTTCTCTTTGCGGTAATTCTGTAAGGAGTAACTAAATGAAAATACTAAAATTTTTGAGAGGAAGAATATGGGTGAATGGCCTACTACATTAAGTATTGGGCTGCTAACTTAAAGTGTAGCAGTTCAAATCCACTGGTTGCTCCTTGGGAGAAGATAGGCAGTCTCCTCTTGTTAAGAGGTAGAGCCCAGGAAAACCAATGGAAGGTCATCGTGAGTCACAATTTACTTGATGGCAGTAGGTTTTGGTTTTATTAAAAAAGAACACATGAGAAATGCTTGTTGTTGTTAAGCACTCTGGAATCAGAACTGACCCTTAGCTGACCCTCCACTGTGTTTTCCCAGGCAGTAAATCACACAAGAGGAGACTGTTCCATCCACCTTTCTCCTGTGGAGCAACTGGTGGACTTGAACCACTTGCCTCCAGGTTAGTAGCACAACTCCTTACCACAAAGCCACCAGTCTGCCCTAAATGAGAAGTAGGCACAGTCCACAGGGAATTGCACTACTAACCTATAGATCCTGGAGAGAAAGATGGACAATCTTCTCTGGTATGATTTATAGCATCCACAAACCCAGTGAGGAGGTAGGTGTGAGTAGGTTTCAACACCACTAGGATTGCCAGAACAAATGAGTATGTCTTGGAGATGATGCAGCCAGAGTGCTCTTTGGAGGCACACATACTTTGGGCATGTTGCTAGGAGAGTCTATTCCTTGGAGAAGGACATGATACTGGGAAGGGTGGAGGGTCGGCAAAGGCGAGGAAGACCCGCTGCCAGGTGGACTGACATGGTGACTACTGCAATGGGCTCTTGTGTATCAGGAGGTATAAGGATAGCATAGGATAGGACAGGGTTCAAATCTATTGTTCATAGGGTCACTATATGTTGTACTCGACTCAACAGCACCTAAAAACAACAGGTTCCAACATGGCGGCAATGACTGTGAGTTTTTGAGGCACATGGAATCACTCCCTACCTTAACTTACATTGCCCTCCACTTTCCCTGTTCACTTCTAAACATCACCCACTCTTTGAGGGATTTTTTTTTGTTGTTCTCACCTCACGTCAAGCACAAAGCCTTCCAACTACACTTGCCCACATCACTCTTTTTCCTTACTGAAATTCTGTTGCACTCAACTAGGTATTCAATAAGCAGGCAGTGACACAAAACTGTGTGTGTTTTATCTCCCAGCCTACATTATTAGTGGGCTGAAAGGAGGTTTTGATCTTTGTATTCATCTACAAAAGGCAGGGACAGGCCTCTCTCATTCTTACAGAACTGCTAAAATTTAGGTCTAAATACTCACTAATTAGTCAAATTGATGATAAAGGCTTTTTGTGCTTCCCTAGGAAGTTGTATGCCGAACTCTCTGAAATATCTGTTATGAAAACTGTGTGTATCTTCCTACTGTATCAATTCACTGTAAGACATGGGAAAACGTTTTGTGGGATTGTTGTATTTTCTAATTAAAAAATAATTATAGATACAATGTGAAACTAAATAGAAAAAAGGCATAAATACAAGTGGCTAGTTTTTTCAGTGTTTTTCTTTTCTATTGAACTATGTCCACCATTATCCCATCTTTTTTAGGTCCCCATCAGATCTTTCCCATTTCCTTTACCCTGTCCTTCCTGCCATAAAATTGTGTGGCCCTGTGATTTTCCCACTGCCCACCCTCACCCCTCTGCTCCTATCCCTTCCCCCCTTACACCTCCATACACATTATACTAGTTATCCTTTTTTTACAATAATGATCTTATGCAGTATTTGTCCTTATGAGCCTTAGTTCACTCAGCATAATGCTCTCCAGTCTCTCTCAAGTTATGTAGTAATTTTTTAAATTGTTGTTTCTGAGGGCTGCATAGTATTCCATTGTGTGAATGTGTAACAATTTCTCAATCCATTAGTTAGCGGTTAGACATTTGGGTTCTTTTCATTTTCTTGTGATTGTGAATAATGCTGCCATGAACACTGGTGTACAAATCTCCATTTGTGTCTCAGTTCTTATTTCCTTGGGGTATATTCTTAGTAGTTAGATCATATGGAATTTTGATGTTCAGCTTTTTGAAGAAACATTAATCTGCCTTCCAGAATGGTTGTACCATCTTACGATCTCACAAACAGTGTATTAAAGTTCCAATTTCTCCATGTTATTTCTTCCATTGTATTTCCAACTTCAAGATGTATTGCTTTCTGTCCTGTTAAACTTTGCAAAGTGGTAGTTTTGTGCTTTCTGTGCCTTTATTTCCGTTAAACTTTGCAAAGTGGTAGTTTTGTGCTTTCTGTGCCTTTATTTCCGTATCTGCAAATGGGAGTATTAGTAGTCTCTTTAACAAAAAGTGTCTTGATAGCGAGCATTGTGAGGCACCAGTGAGGGAACTGCAGAGTATGTGGTATACAGTGGGGGCTTGGACAATACTAGTTGTCATTATAATTGTTAACTTATGTTGATAATTATTCTTACTTTCTTCTTTACTACCTAATCCAGTGATGCAGAGGAGACAAACCCTCTTTTCCACTATATCACTGGTCTTCATGGGATTTTTGTGGGTTAAAACGTACTTCTCACTCACAGAATTGCTAAAGAACACTAGTGGCTTTGTGAAGAGAGGGCTGTACTACTAACCAAAACAAAAGCAGTTTTAATACACTGGGCTGCTCCCAGGGAGACAGACGGGCAGCCTCTTCCCATTAAGATTTACAGCCCAATGGGGGGCCATGAGGTGAAATTGCTGCCAACCCAAAGGTACATGGTTCAAATCCACCAGCTGCTCCCTGGGAGAAAGATGGGCAATCCCCTCCCATGTGATTTACTGTTTCTGAAAACACACTGGAGAGTGAGCTATGGGTTGGGTTCAGATTCAATGGTATATAATAAGAACAGCAGGAGTGGGAAAGGTGAAAATAGATGTTGTCAAGACTGTGGAAAATGGGGGAGCTCTGGTGGCCTAGTGGCAAGGAGCTGCAACTACAATCCCACAGGCACACGGTTCGAATCCACCAGATGCTCTGCCGGGAAAAGGAGGAACAATCTCCTCCTGTACCAGTCAGATCTGATTTGATGGTACACTCACACACACAAAAAATAAATAAATAAATAAATAAATAAATAAATAAATAAATAAAAGACTGGAAAATGATATAGAATGTACTACAAGTTGTTGTGGGTTTTGTTGTTGTTTGTTTTTAAAGATATATCTAATAAAGTGATAAAGGGGGAAATACCATTTTTTAACTAGTTCAGTTATGATAAACACACCAAAATCAGGGCAAACTGAAATTTTTAAAATGTAGAAGTACCAAAGCAATAACAACAAAAGGAAAACTTAAGCTAGAAGCCTTGAATCCGGAGACTCAGAAGAGGCAGAGTGAGTGCTTTCAGTGCTTGATGGCGGAGACTGGGCAGCTGCCAGGACTGTGGAGAGTGATCTTCAATCAAATCAGCCATGTTAGCCACCATCTTTGAACTGGGAATAGTAGTTTTCCATCTCTGCTGGTCAAGATATTCAGTTGCTATGACTCGCATGTGTTGTCTTTGTTTTCTAAGAAGAGAGTAAGTCTAGCACTTTGTCAAACTGATATATTTCTTTCCTGTTCTGGTTAGCATTCCAGTATACTGGAATACAAACCACTGGAATGATACAAATTGAGGTCCATTC